ATAAATGGTCTTAATTTACTTATTTAGAAAATTACTGCTTAAATAACTTCCATTTATTACATCATATATGTGCATAAATATCGCCTAGATTAATTAATGCCGTAACTGAACGATGTATTATGCATTCTTAATTCATAAGTAAACATTGTGAGTGAGTATTAATGGGTGGGTTTACTACACGTGGTTACGTCACGAGACGGATATATGCGGGAAAATACCTGTCAAACTGAGGCTAACAAAGTATGTCCAGTTCCGGTTTAACATACCGTTCCTAAATTTTGCCGACCACTTATTAAAGGCGTATGCTTAATAATTAGATATTCATTTTTTTATAAAGGTAGTAAAACGTAAACAAAGCGGTATGTTGAGTTACATACAAAAATACTAAATCAAGCAAATGTGTTACTGAGTATACTTTTTTCAGGACATTGGGCACCAAAAGTGCCTTATTGTACTTTTGGTGCCCAATAAGTGCCTTATTTGTTGGGCTCATCTGGAGGCATACGTCTTTAACATGCTACTATTTGTAGCATATAACACAGGCGTTCGGCACATTTGCCAAAAATGGCAAATGTGCCGAACGCCTGTGGCATATAAGTACCTCATTGTACTAAAATGCTACTAATTGTAGCTAATTAAAGCTGTATGCCTCCAGATGAGCCCAACAAATTGTGCACCAGGCCTTTTTATTATACAAACGATGGTCTTTACCGACATACATGTATTAATATCAGTTTGTAATTCGGTCGACCTTGCAGTTGAAATATTGAGAATAACCTCCAGAAGCGCCAAACTTTTTTCAAGAAAAGCAAAATTTCAAATGTTTTACTAGGACTTTCAGAAAAGTAAAAATATTCAAGTAAAATCTACAAAGTGTGTGCCATTTATTACTAATTTTGAAGTATTTTTCACCATGATTATTTCTACCGCGTGACTAACGCAGTAAAGGCTGTTTTTGGATATTTGAACATCTTTTTATCAATTTACGTGGATTGTAGAATCAGTGGTCCAGCTTCGGGACAGGATCTGTTTCGACTAATTCAATATCGTTTTCCCAGAAAATCGGCATTTTATAAGAAAATAAGCTGCCAACATGTGATTAGATACACATTGCTTGATATTATACACAAAACATTCAAATGCCAGAAATATTTCAAAGAAAACGGCATCAAAGAAACCGGAACTGGTCCTGTATCTGAACTGGTTACTTGACTGTATGTATAAATTACTTTGTTTGTTCACTTCACTATATTAACTTTTTAAAACATTTTTTAAAGTTTTATGAAATAAGCATGAATCTGGAGGCATGCTGCCTTAAAACTAAAAATAATAGTACTTTGTAAGTATACATTAATGTTAGTCTATTGGTCTGTTATGCAAAAAGAAAATCTGTCGTATATAGTGTAACCCTTACAAACGCTACTAGTTTAGACTGAAAAATTACAGTGATTTTTTGTCATAATCTTGATCTAATGTTACTCATCATCATCATCAGCAGCAGCAGCAGCAGCAGCAGCAGCAACATCATCGCCATCATCATCATTATAATTATTGAAGATTATATCATTATTTTTAAGTTCTTTTTATAATTTGATATAATTTAGTTTTCATATAGGAATCTTCGGACACTTTTACGAGCTCCCTAGTCAAAGTGAGGTAACTTTACAGTGAGGATCGGCGTGATAATAAGTTTATCACCGATCTTAACCCCCTATTAACATTTGCGCCGCGCCATGACAAAACCTACATAATGGGTTTGTAAGCGAACAGCATGGATCCTGATCAGACTGCGCGGATGCAAACCCATTATGTTGGTTTTGTCATGGCGCGGCTCATTTATTAGTTATATTAGTTAAGAATAATAGAAATCGGAGTCTGCAGCAAATTTGACAAATTTACAAAACAAATAAATTATCTCGCCAGTATGAAAACATTGAAAATAAATTGATACAAATTTTGTAATGTAAGTTTAACATATATAATTATTTATATTACTTCAATAAACTCTTGAAAAACTTTCGATAAATTAGAAAAATAAAAACTTCATAACATTACCTTTTTTACAGAATTGTGCTGTTTTGTATTATCCTTTTAATTATCCTAAAGTTAATTATGCGTCACTCTTTTAGTGGTCAAAAATAGTCATACTTTACACATTGTCCTAATAACGAAAATCACACACCGTTTTAAAGCACGATCACATTTTTTACAGTGCACAAATTTCTAAAACGTCAACATAATTCCACAACTCCTAACTATCAACGACACCAAATATACGCAAACTTAATATGAGAAATATCCGTGAGTTATGAAACAATTCGCATTTCTTGTAACCGCAGTTTATGTAAAAGAAAAAGATCGATGCGTCATAATTAATGTTGTTTGTGTGTATAATATAGTTAATATACCGTATGATTGAGTTCAAATATTGAGTAACACTGTAAAATTAAGAAACTTTTAATTAATTAAGAACATGCTTAGTTTTAACAATACAAATCTTTTTTTCAGCGTCATTTCCCGTTTGTCTCTATGTTGGTTTTAGTCATTCATTTTCTTCCTTAATAGTTTTTCCTTTTACATAAAAAAAAATCTTACGTATTTTTCTCAAGTTGATATATACAAGTATTTATGAACTCTTGTATAAGACTAATACTTAAAATACTCCACATAATTAGACTGCATACTTAATTAAGGCGGCTTCAACAGGAAGTCGCCATGGTGCCAGAATTACAAAAGTCATAAACCACTCAATTAAAACGATTTTGTAAGGAACACATATATATCTGCACAGCAAAATTTCAATGACACCGTCAATGAACTATGGGCAGCAAGAAATATACTGGACACTTTCCGACATGAAGCAAATTTATGTAAAAACATGGTCACGTATTTCATTAACCTAACAATACACCTGATAAGACCCTTATGTAGTTATCTTTACCGCTAGGTGGGGCTTCAAGTAATGGATTGATAACAGAATATGGTTGATAACGAAGCTCTATTTATGTGAAACAGCGAATTAGCCATGACAAAGAAGACATTTGTCGAATTGTTTAAACAAATCTTAAATAATCTTGTATATATAGTTTCCGTTATTTTTTTTTAAAGTTTCATTATTCTAAGGTTTTCTAATACTTAGGGTGTTGTGTTTTTTTCTTGTTCAGTTGAAATCCATCTGATTTGTGATATTGTATCGCTGTACATATATTATATACAAGAATACTGGTTCTAAACCAATCAATTATAACCTCTCAATCCCACATAGTCTAATTTAGGAAATTACAAGGATATATTTAATACAGATTTTCTGTATAAGTGAACTAGACATTTTGTAATTATGTTAGATTTTCTGTACAATCAAAAAAATGCAGATGTTTTATGAACTTTGGAAAAAAAACAACCTGTAAGTTATTTAATATGTCAGGTCTGGCGTTCATAAACTATCAAATACCCCCAAAAAAGTTCTTTAAAACGCAGCTTATTTTACTCGTACATATACGAGTATAAAATTTGCATTTTCTCCCTAAGAATTACATTTACATGTACTTCTGATTAATTGTGGTCCATCCTCTAAAAATAATACTATGAATGTTTTCTCAAAACATATTGTCCATTCAGTGTGACATACTATTTTAATATCTATTTTTTTTTTATTATTATTATTCTAATGTACTGATTGTGCATATCCCTATGTTGATATATACACTAATCTGACACTAAATAATCATATAATTATCGCGTTAATCACGTGTTTAACGCATTAAATAAATAGTAAATAACTACACATTTACCTATGGAAAGCCAGAAGTGCCTTTCGTTTAGACAAACTGATACGTTTGGTGGTAGGATGTGGAGTCAAGTTAAGTCAAGTTTTAGGGTTAAACCTTCAATTAGTTCAGTCAAGTATTCAATGTTAAGTCAATACGACATCTGGTTCAGTCAAGTTGGCACTACATGTTTGAGTCATATGGTCAAAATGACATTAGACTGAGTCTATTTTGCAAGCAAATGAGGCTACTTACCTGTGAACAAAAGACTGTTTTGGCGTTCCATATATTCTCTGTAAGGCTTTAAATTGTTATTACTATTAGCAGAGTAACGGTTTAAAACCTTGGAAAATATGGACTGTAAATCAGTGAAGTCCCACAGCCTCATTTTTCAAGTTGACACCTTTTCATTTTAATAACGATACGGTTTTGGGATCCTGTGATAAGCAGCTAGCTAGAACTCTACTGGCCATGCATTAAAATATATAGAAATACTTTTTCCCGAAATTTTCTTTCACAAATTAAGTAAAAATCTTACATTCGGTACAGACGTGTGCACGTCAATAACATTAGTCTGAACGGGTCGTGTCATAATTTTCCTGACATAATTCTTCCTAAGACAGGAGTAAATTGATCTAATCAACATAAAACATAAATATTCGATATTGATACATGACCTTACAACAAAATTACATCAATTTACTAAATCTAGTTTGCCATATTACCATAATATTCTCATTTAGAGCTCAAAAGTGGGCCATATTCGGAAAGCCTAGCCGATTACTAATAATCAATAGGTCACATCCGAAGTTTGACGGAAAATGCCGAAAAGTTGCGACTGAAATAAACGATGGGACAGGATAAAAAGAGTGAAATTTATAGAATTTATTTATTTATTTATTAGAAGGGCAAACTACCCGTAAATTTCGGAATGCTATAAAACCCTTCATATCGTCGCTTAATTACTTGATTGTGTCTTCAAGTGAAGGGGTATACCGAATGTCCACGGTAACAAGATAAATGTATATGTATTGGCAAACATTTATTCCGATAACTTTAAAAAAAAAGATGTTAATACATTACTGGCACATTATGCACGCGTTCGTTTATTAAATTTACACACGTACATACGCAAGCAAACAAATATCCAATAATGCTATGATTTATACATGTATCGTGAATTTTCTTTTCTTTGCAAGTATACCAGTAGTGTAAGAATTTAATCAAGAATACCTTCAGTTAGTTTCCTTGAAATGCCTGCACTGCCTACGTATAACATTATGCAAGTGTTCGGCGATAGATAAGATTTCTTAGAGAAAACTGTGAGGTCTGGAAAATAGCAGAAAACTAGTAGTCGAAACGAAGGAAACAGACAGTGTGTAATTTGGTGTGTTTAAATGCGTGCATATGTTATGTAGGTAAAACACAATAAACTGTATAAAAGATGCGATTATCAAAGCGTATATTGTTTAATATGGTGAAACCCTGATCGTCCCAGCTTTAAGTTCAGTGATTATTTATTGTATTTCAAAAAGGAATTGTCGATACAAATTCGAAATTTTCTGAAATATTTTCAAATTTTATAGGTAGAATGTTTATATTAGCAATAATTTTATCAAAAATTATAAATTATTTACACTACGTTACATATGAAAAAAAAGCGTAAAACAAACCTCAGTCGCCCAACATCGTCTTAACATAGTCTTAAACAGTCCAAAACAGTCATATATCAGCCTCCGAATTATTCCCATGCAGATAAATGTCAGACCAGTTGTTCCGTGAATTGCAAACTTTTATCGACTGCATGTCAGTTACTTTTATTACTCTCATATCCATCTATATATAAGCACAGAGCGTGCGCTTTAATATATTCAAGTTTGAAAGAAAACACTTGTATAAATGTAAACAAAAAACATCAAAGATTCATTTAAACTTATTCTATGAGTGTTTACAACACTTCTCTATAGCATGTATTTCGGCTAACTGTCAGACACAGGAAAATCCGTTGGCATGGTAACCATTTCCAATAACAGCGTTGAGCGTTAACATTCTGAATACGGAAAACAGTCTTCTTGCTTTCTCTATTTTATGACTGTTACAAGAATCGATTCAACGATAATAAATTTTCTGTCGCAGACGACATGCTCCCAAGAGCAGTTGTGCCGATATTTTTAAGTAATGCATATTTGCCAGCGTTGTTGTTGTTTTTCTTTTTCACAATCAACACGCAAATGAACGAATATGTTCAAATTGTAATATGAATGTTATAGAAAACGAGTACCACTTTCTTTTAGTATGCCCAAAATATACTAACTTAAGAAAAACCTACTTCAATCCATATTTTTGCGATTGGCCTACTAAGAAAAAAATTATCTCACTTATGAATTTAGACTCTGTTAAAAGTAGTATGAATGTCAGCAAATTTATATGCAAAGCTTTCCATATGCAATACTACTTCTTTATTCCAAAACAAATTTCATTATCATAACCTGAAATAACACAACAGATAAATGATAAAAATGATGAGAAATATTGTTAAGGAAAGACTTTAAAAAATCGATTATGTGCACTCTGTTAAAAATAATAATTTAAGATTAATTTGTATAAATCATTTGTATAATTCTCTGTTAACCATGTACTTGCCCTTATATGTTTGTAATATATTTAGAAATGGCTATGAATTAATGCTGAATAAATATTATGTTATGTTATGTTTTTCTTTTTCATAATCAACACGCAAATCTTGCTGTTATTAAGATATATCATAAGATAACGTACGGTAATAGAGAATAGAATGAAATGAAAAACAACACAACGACGGACATTTTTCTGTCTCCTAGCTCTAGTGTGTGTGTTTTTTTTAAATCATGCGCGCATTACTTTAGAATGATGCCTTCAGGGTGGCTTAAAAATGATTAACCAATGTAATCTCCTCTAGACTTTTGTAAATTGTTATAACTGGGAGAGGACACTCATAAGCTTTAAAGCTTTCTTCTCAATCCCAAAATGTACCTTGTAAATATTGTTCACTTGTTAAATGTTTGTTGATTAAATATGTAATAAATGTAATAAATAAACTAAAACCAATCTCCTCTATAGATTTCTTTTTGGAATTATGTTATATTAGTAGATGATTCCCCAATGGTGGGTAATCAAAGCACGGAAAATACTGGTATTGAAATTGTCATTGTCGGGCAAGATTATTTCTAAGCTGAGATATTATTACTGAGGCATGATTACGATGTACATGTATTGTTACAAGTGATGACGTCGCAGTGGAAAAAGACAAAGATGCACAAAAAGGGGAGAACAGGAAAAAAGGGAGAGGTTACTTGACATCCGTCAGGTTTTACTTATTCATCAGAGATTTTGATAAACCTTTAGACTATTGATGGCAAGAATTTCTACTAATGCGACCTGTGCAAAGCAAGATCAGCCGACACAGCATTAAATGTATTTCCAGGTACATGCTGATCAGCTAAGATGTGCCGCTTGCATCTTAATGAAATACTGTCTGAAGACTTAACCCCAGAGTCGAACATTTAGTGGTTTCCAGCCCATCTCCCCACTAATTGCTTCCAACACCCAAACATATCGCATGACTGTATTTTGAATTGTATTTATACATGGAAAATTCCTATCTCCCCAAAAAGGTGCACTGTAGTTTATAATGGGTCACATCAATGAATCACACAATTTTGTAAATGTTAAGTACTTATAACCACCTGACATAGCAACATTCTTTGCAATTTCTTGAACATCTAAAAATTCAATTAAACAATACCAAGATATTTATAACTATGGACATATTCTAATACATTTGAGTTTGTTCCAAATACATGATCAGATCGTTGCATACTATTTATTCGAAAGCGTATTATATTTGACTTTTCATAATTCACAATCATCAAATTATTGGAGCACCAATCTGACAAATGATCTAACGTATACTTCAAATCATCAGCATTCTCAGCTAAGAGAACAACATCGTGTGCATACAAAAGAATACTTATTTTGTCATTATCAACTTTGATACCTTTATCCAAGCTTTTCATCAAATATGCTAAATCAGTTATATACAAGTTGAAAAGCATTGGAGATAGAGGACAGCCTTGTTTCAATCCACACTTTATATCAAACCAGTGGGAATCAAAACCATTTACACGTACACAACATTTAACATCCTTATACAATGATATAATGGCTTGAACAAGTTTACGCTCAAGTCGCAAATGCCGCAACTTTCCTATAAACAATTTCTATCTCACATATCGTATACCTTTTTAAAATCAATAAATGAGGCAAAAGTAGGAAACCTGTTTAATTTGCGAGTTTCAACAATAGTGGTGAGTAATTGTATCTGATCTACTGTACATTTACCCTTACAAAAACCGTTCTGTTTATCACAAATAGAGTTATTATCTTCACACCACTTGGTCAAACGGTTATTTAAAATACTACAGTAGATTTTATACATGCAGGGTGCCAGTATGATTCCCCTATAGGATAAGGGATCACGGGCATCTACTGTAGAAGACTTGGGAATTGGTGTAATGATATCCTTTGATCAAGCGGAGGGAACACTTCCACTCATGTAACTAAGAAGCATAACCAAGTCTGAATCATTTTTCAACAATTCACTCGGTATTTCATCATGACCAGGAGCCTTTCAAGACATGGCATGCAATATACATTTACGCACCTCATCAATAGTGAATAAATTGTTTACCCCTGAATCATCTTCAGTCTGGCTGACATCCCCATTTAATTCATGTACAACCGTAGTATTCGTAGGGTAAAGAAGTGTCTCAATCCCATTTTTGAAAGACAACCATAGTATAAGAACTTATGGAACCGTCATAAAGTCTGACTTCAAATGGAATCTTTTTGTGACGTTTATTTCCAATAGCAGTTTTACCAATTTTTCTCCAAAATGACCTAGAATCTTTATCTAGAGCTACTTCAAGCTCACCCTGAGCTTTATAAACAAACTGACTCTTGACCTTCTGCACGATCGAATTATTTTCATTTGTTTGAGATGTTGCCTTTTACTATCTTTACATTTCAACCAATCCCTTTCTGCTTTATTTTTCTGCATATTTTTCGACAAGCCTGTAAGTTTTAAAGACCGTCAAGGTTTCTTTACCTTATGTTTCATATTGGTATGATTACTGGAAAAAAGGTGACTGTTTTATATTGAAGTTTACTTGACATTTCATTATGTATAATACCAACAAAATGACTGTTTGCATCATCAAGACCCATCTGTGACACAGCTGCACTCTTCAGCTGATCAATAGTTTGACAAAAAATTAAAGTAACTTGCTATATATTCTAACTTCGCAAAGCTATTTTGATGGTAGGTAGTGTTATTACGAGCCACGTGTTACCAGCGTGGCATTTGTTCTTCGTAAACGTTTATCAACATTTTACACATAAAAAATGTTTGCATGCAAAGACGATAATATATACTTACTCAATATCAATATCATTTGACAGAGAATTAGTAAAGGGCTTTGATTTTTCTATAGATTGAAGTAATATTACATTAAAGCATCATTGAATATGATGATAGCACACCATTCATAATCTTTTTTCTCTCATTTTTTCAAAAGAGACATTTGTCAAACCATAAAAGATAAATACTGCGCTGTACAATGTATTATGCCATTTCCAATATTCGTAATTACCAGCTGCCGGTTTATCTATAGTTTCTTTACCAGGTAGTGTTATTTAGAATGTCATAACTCACCCTACAGGTGGGCGTAATTAAGATATTTAAAGGAAATGAAATCTAAAGCAAGATATAGAACGACATAATTATGACAACAAACAAGATGCCCATCAATGTAATATATACGAAATATGGTAATTAAAGAAAATCGACAGCAATCTATTTACAAAATGCACAAGTCCCATAATAGCTGGCAACATCAGCAGTATACATACATAAATATATATGGATACATAATGGAAAACGGCGATATTACATTCTTCAAATCGAATGTGTACACCTTTCATAATAACCTGAACAAAACAAAACGAAATCATATCAAGAAAAATTATTATCCAGGTCATATACAAGTTTTATCTCTACATCAGTGTTGTTTGTGCCGTATGGAGGCTGTTAAAAGTACATTCAAAAGATATTATATTTTCCGATCTATAAAGTTCGTTCAGCACGACATTATTGTTGTTTGTGGTATTTTTAGTTTTAACTAATTGGCATTTTCTAGTTGGGTGGTTCCAATATTCCTTCTTGAATAATGTTGAATCACCATTAGGATACCTGGATATGATGTCTGCTTTTTAATTTTGTCTTTTGAGGTCTTATCAGTGATATCAAAACTTCATAACCTCTGATTCCCTTTCTCGTTTAGGGCACACGTACGCTTTCTATTACCTGGGGATCATACGCCACTTTTCATGGAATGGCACGGAAGTGTCACATTGAAGGTTTCATTATAACCGCCGTATGAACACATCTGCGAATGTTTCTTACTTCAAAATACAATAGCTGGACACAAATAGCAAAATAAGTGAAAATATGTGATTAAATTGTGGTCAAACAATTCGAGACGTTTAAATACGTTTCTTTTGTCTACTTTTGTGTCTGTTGGGAATATCCAACATCTAGAGCAATATTTATTTAACTTACATATAACTTTAAGGAAGTAGGTCAAAAAATCTTTTTCATGCCACGAATTCGCTAAAGTTGGTATAGCACCATGGTACAATTTGTCTGACAATACAAATGTTCTTTCCGTTTTCTAAAATAAAATAACTAACTTCACAATAGTTTTACTAACATGAAGTTTTTTTATATAAGCTTATTCATAATGAAAGCCCTCAATCTCGCCGTTTTGGGCTTTCTTTAGGGATTCTATTTTTTTCCCTATTGAATGTCAAGAGTAATTAACACCAAAGTATTTTTCTATACATGTAGTTGATATAAAAATGATGAAAGATGAAAAAGGGAATAGAAAAGGTTCATATTTGAATTTTGGATTTGCATGTAAGTAAAAGAAAATGTGGGCAATGTACTTATAAGATAAAGATCTCATTTCATTAAATACTTAGTGTAATAGTGTGAAATTATATAATTTTTTATATTTTATAGATAGCCGAAAAGACATATTATTTCATATGTTGTAAATATCTTAAGATCTTAGACTACTTTTCATAGTTCAACAGAAGTGATTACATGTGGCATAATTTCAACATTTTCCTGAAAGAGAAAGAGCTTTTGTGTACATATAAAATAGACACAGAATGCCTGAAATAATTCAAAGGCCAAAAAGTATTGTAAATATGCTTCAATCAATATATAATGATTTCTTTAAATGTTTCATTATTTACCTCTTTCGTGAAAAACAGGAAAAGGAAAATAATGTAATATACATGCAGCATAGAGAGCATATTTTTTAGTAATCTCAAATAAGAAGAATAGTAAATATTCTAAAATATCTAGAAATGAAGTATCTTCATGTTTCACAATTTGACGTGCAAGTTTCACTGACTCTTTCTTAATTAAACATCCTATGTGAAATATGTTAATATAGATGTTAGAATATACTGTTTTTCAACAGGAATCATTAATATCCTAAGATTTGTGTTTAATATGTATACATGGTGAATTAGTGTGTTGACATGTTTCATCTTTCAGTACATTAATTTACAATTTACAAAGCATAGCTAATATATGTAACATAGAGAAAAATCAAGAAAAAACAAAATATTGCATTATTTTATTACAACATACACTTAAATTTTCTATTTTGTTTTCATATTTCTAAATGTAAATAATTCTATAAATTTAAACATACTTGCTGTGTGCAGGTAAAAATCATGTATATGTTTTCTTCTTTCGTTTTCAAATATTGGACATTTAAAAACATAATGGAATTCATCTCCTATATCTATACAAAGCCTGCATAATGATTTACGATCGTTTACGGGGTATGTTTTGCCAACGTCCCGTTTCAGTTCCTTGTTAAAACACAAAAATTTCTTTGCAAAGTACAGAGGTTACTTTTTCTATGTACACACTTCTAAAAAAGTTATCCTTTATATATTTATACAAATTCGAGTCTGATTTATTGTTGATTTCAGCTCTCCAGTTTTGATCATCTTTTAAATAACTTTTGAAAATTTTGCTTTAATAGGCCATTTACTTCTGCTAAAACATTGATCATACCATACTCCAGAAAAATCTGTCTCACATCAATATTGTTAATATTTTCTATCCAGAGTGGCTTAACTAAATTCTTATTTTGTAGTTCCCTTAAAACAATATACGACTTCGACGAGGGTCTTGTTGGTTCGTTACTATTTATATAATCGATAAGTCTTGTCCAATATGATACAACCCTACTTTTTATATGAATTTTAAAGGAAAAATTCATGTCTTCCGTACACCATATAAGACGACGAAGACTTTTTTTATATTAAAAAATTATTTGTAAAACTTCCATACAATAAAATTGGTTTAATTGTCTTCTCAAATAGTTCAATTTGTATATCAAATGGTAAAGCTATCAATTTAATTTTCCTTAAAAGTGCAAACATAGCTTTATTTGCTTGTTCTGCAAAAGCAATCTTTGATTTATAAAAGAGCCGCTTTTATTAAAGTATATTTGTATACGCGTATTTGTACTCACTTACAACTTCAAGAACGTTTTCTCGTATTGTAAACACTTTCTGACATTTAGGACGGTCTGTACTGAAAACCATAAATTTAGTTTTGTTTACATTAATGTTTATATTCCAATGATCGCAGTTATCTTTGAATATATTGAAGGCAATTTCAAGACATCTCCACTTTCATTGAATATGTCAGTGGCGTCAACGTAAAGTAAAATAAAATCAATATTGAAATATTGCATTGGACCAAGACATTAATTAACAAGTTGCTAGTGTTATCATATTATGTAACGTGTAGCCATTTATCATGACATACAACATATCTCTTTTTGTGTGTTGATTTGTTTTTGTTCTTTTTTCTTTTGTTGTTGTCCTTTTTCCCGAAGAGATAAAAAAAAATACGTTTAGAGGCACATATATATGTAAAAATGAACGTTTTATACTGAAAATTTATGCAACACTGTTATTTGTAAGAATATATATTCTTATATTATACAGCAAATACCGAATATTGTAAACTAGCCACAGCTGGTGGACTTTAAGGATAGTGATCAATCCAAGAAGAATACCTTCCAGACTGGCAGACGTGCTTAATGGAAGTATACACCAATCAAAGACAACAACGAGGTAACATTTTCTTAACTGGCTATTTTATTAAAATGACAGTTGAGGGAAAATGAATATTTGATTTGAAACTTGTGAACATACTTCGAGACTAGCTCGACTTGCATTATTCTGCAAAATAATCTAGCTTTGCAATATGGAAGCATTCTCATCTATTGTTCACAACTTACTGAAATGCATAAAGACACCATAGTAATTAAAATGGTGTTTTCATTTCCTTTTAATCAATATTATATACTCGCATCAATGTTCAAAATGACATTTTCTTTTTACTTTAAATCAAAACTTTTCAGTTATTTTCGGTACCCTTCAATTCATTATTTTTAATATATTTTTATTTCACGAGCAATAAGATTTCATTATCAGATGACTTACAAACTTGAGGGAAGAGACATAATGCTGGAATTATTACGCAATGACATATAACTTATCAGAAATATTTATTACGAAATTATAATACAGCAAGTATCTTTTTGAAGAGAAAAAATAGTGAGATTTCTTCATAGAATTATATAATTGCACGTTTGTAACGTCACTTTTGATTGGATAATGAATGTTATGAATGACGTTTATATACATGTTTAGTTTTATATATACGGCTGCTGTCAATTTTATAAGAATCAAAGAAAGGAAGCTTGCTGTATTAAAAAATTCGTTATAAATATTCCTGACAGGTTATATGACCGTATATAAACGGTTGTTTGCAATATATAGAAGTAGTTAGGCATTGAGCCACTTATGATGTTATAAACTGTAGATTTTTACCAATGCGTTTTTTCTTCTTCTGAATTTTACTAGGCAATGTGATACAAATATTTTACTCGTAAGTAATTCACTGTAAACATTGAATTATGTGCATTTATATATATTCTTAAAAAAAAATTTAAAAAAATGAATCGGGATTTCATAAAGTTCACTCAAACAACTTAATTTTGAGAAGAAATTGAAAAATGTTGAAACATGAACAATATAAAAAGCAAAATCTCAAAATCTCATACATGGTTATACTTTAGTTCCTTAGTTAAAATATAAAAAGCATTATAATACTGCACGTTTGTAACGTCGCTTTTCATTGGATAATTGTGACGTTTCTATAGTTTTATAAACTCGTACACGGCTGTTGTCGATTCATAAAGAAATCTTACTTTTTTCTCTAATAGATGATGCTTGCTGTATTATAAATTCGTTATAAAGATTGCTGACAGGTTATATATGGCCGTATATAAACGGCTGTTTGCAATATAACCCTCGCCTAGCGGCCCGGGTTATATTTACAAATAGCCGTTTATATAGGGCCATATAACCTGTCAACAATCTTTATAACTAATAATATATCAGGAATATGACATATCATTTTACATACATGATGCCAAAAACTAATAATTTGACAAGTCCATTAAAAAAATTCGTAATGTTACGGGTTAAAACTAATGTCTGAACTATAATTACATAATATATCAGGCAACATTTGTTATGATGATGTAATGGAGTTAATGATGATAATGATGATGATTTTGATGATCATGATGATGTTAATGAGATGATGGTTAGGTTTATAATAATGAGGGTGATTAAGTTGTTGATTGTGCTAATTATGATGAAGATGATGATATATAGTGGCCGATATGATGATGACGACGATGATGATGATAGTGACCGATATGATGATGATGATGATAACGATGATGATGATGATGATAGTGGCCGATATGATGATGATGATGATGACGACGATGACGATGGTGATGATGATAGTGGCCGATATGATGATGATGATGACGACGATGATGATGATGATGGTGGTGACGACAATGACAATGATGATAGTGGTCGGTATCAGGATGATAATGATGATGATAGTGGTCGATATGATGATTCTGAAGATGATTATAGAGGTTGACACGATGATAATGATGATGATATTGGTCGATATGATGATGATGATGATGATAATGTTTGTTATGATATTGTAAATGATGATTTTAATGATGATTTTGATGATGATGATTTTCAGTGCGGTATACTAATTTTTCCGGAAACACTATACAATTCTGCCAAGGGAGGTAATCACTGTGAGGAGTTTGCCATGTGATATGATAGTGTATCATGTGACACAACAATCAAAATGGCGACCGTACAGGATTTGATTTCGGCAATAAGTTTAGTTTATTTGATATATTTCGTTAAATCTGGAATGGCAGCTCATCCAAACTTTATAATAATGTTAATGGATGATGTAAGTACTTTTCTACAGTATGTATGTAGTTTGTTGTTTTTCTGTTCTGTATCTGTTACCCGTATCTATTTTTCGATAATTTACAGTGATGAGTCATTTTACAGCTGATACATCATTCGTTGTATGCTATATATATGAATAAACTAACTGCTTTGTTTTTTAATTAAATTGCAGTTAAATATGTCACAGAAAATTTCCCATGCACTTGATTGAACTAGCAAAATACGAGTGCACAATTTGTTAACGTTTGATGCACAATATCAGACGCCTATTCGGTTTGCAATTAGCTATTCATAATTAAAGATACTTCAGCGAACAGGTTTTATAGTACTGCTAGACCTGTGGCACAATGTTAAAATAAAACCGACATATTAAGTTATGAAAGCCAGAACTAGATTTGCATGAACACATTGCAGTGCACACTTTTTTTAATGTAAACAGTGCACAAATTTTTATGAGTGTATTTGTAACCTTCATATATAGTATCATATTTATCATGATATTGTGTAATAGAAAAACCTTCAACAGCTCCAGCACTAGCTGACTGGCAATTGAACCCAAGACCTGCTGATTACTAGGCAAACACTCAACCTAGTCTCTGTTATAAAATTATTGGTTAACATACACATGTAACAGCAAGGCAGAGTGTTGAAGTGGGCCTAAGGCTAAAACATGGAGCTTTTAGTTATCAAAAAAATTAATTTCTGTTAAAGTTAGTTAAAATACATTGCATGTAGTTTTTGGTTGTTTAATTTCCAGCTGTCCTCACTCTATGGGTGAATGCAGTTGTTTTAGCTAAGCTAGCCAGATCACAGTACATTTCATAAATTTTGTTGAATTACATTTCAGGCATTAAATGAACAACTGAGAAGACCTGAAAATCTATCTTTATATTTCAGATGGGATGGGGAGATCTTGGTGTTTATGGTGAACCAAATAAAGAGACACCAAATCTTGACAGAATGGCAGAAGAGGGAATGCTTTTTCCTGATTTTTATTCAGCAAATCCTCTATGTTCACCTTGTAAGTCAGTATTTTGTGGAGTCTTTTCTTGTCACATTAATTACAGTATAATGTATGATTGAATATAGAAATCAACTCAGAGTTTCAATTAAAAAGTATATTGTTTTATTTAAAAAAACAAAAAAACACAACAATTCCACTCAAAAGTATTCATCAGGTATACTTGTTTACAGGAAATACAGGAATTGTTTATTTTGACAACAGCAAAGGTTACATGTATTTAAATGAAATGTATAAAATGAGAATAATTCCGCTTTCAAATTATTGAATAAAATTAATTAATGCTATTATGAAGACTTGTTAAAAGACATCTCTTGATCTTATATGCCAGTTGATCAAAGGTTTAATATTGTAGGGGTAGTTGGAGTAAATGTTGTTTGAAAGAGATGTATTGTATATACATGTTACCTTAATTTTAGCTAGAGCAGCTTTAATGTCGGGGAGGTTACCTATCAGAAATGGATTCTACAGTGATAATGCTCATGCAAGAAATGGTAAGCTTATTTCATTAAATTTTGTTCTCTCTTTTCATGCAATGTAGTCCAGAACATGTCTTTTATAAAGAGCTGGGCTTTCATGGATAGGTACTTCACTTTTAATCATTTACAGCTTATAACTGCTGTTGTTTACTGTCCTTCCAAGGATTTTGGCTTTTTAGCCTGACTTTTTGACGAATAGAAAGGCTACCCTACTCACCTGGGCATCAGTGTCTTTTTTGGTGTAACACTGATTAAAGTTTTACATCTCCTCAACCTCCAATGATATTGACTTGTAACTTCACACACTTATTTGAAACCATAATAGAAGTCACTATTTAAGGCCCATAACTTTAGCTTGGATTTTGAGAGAATGATGGCCCGTTTTGAACTTAGAAATTTCTTGTTTAATGTTTTTTGTGCAGCATCAACCTTCATAACTATTGAGGCTATTCAGATGAAACTTAATAATATATGTCTTTAAAACCATAATCGGAGGCCCATAACACATAGACTTGATTGAATTTTGGCCCTTTGTGAAATTTAGAAAATGTTTGTTTAACTTTTCCTCGAAATATTAATCTTTCAAAAATCAGCTGATTGTATTCATCTAAAATTTATTTCATGCTTTTACAATTGAAGGTCAGTTTACAAGACCTTTAACTCTGGCATGGGTTTTGAATGAAATAAGACACTTTGTAAACATAACAAATGTCTTTTCTCAATATTCATCACTTTGTTAATTCTTATTACATTATCCAGGCTTTTGTTTTACTATCAAGCACTGAAGATAATCAAGTGTGCTGTCATTCTGACAGCTCTTGTTTTTTGTTTGCTTATTGAACTGTTGGTTTAACTCTGGGTATTTGCTTGCATATGTGTCCAGACTAACCAGACTTTATTTTTCACTGCTTAGTTTTATTGTGCTTATAGATTAATGGTGGACTGTTTCAAAGCAGGGTGTGTCCATTATAACAATTAAGTGTCATAAAGGCTTTAATATTTATATTTCAGCCTACACACCTCAAGATATTGTTGGAGGAATTCCTGATGATGAAATTCTTTTGCCAGAGATTCTGAAAAAAGCTGGTTATAGAAATAAAATCATAGGAAAATGGTATGTTATGATTTGGTTTATATAAACATGCATTTGTTCCGTATCTGCCATAAAAAAGGTCAATGAACTTAAAACTGTAATCAAAGCTCACAATTGTGTTTTACATGTGTTTGATTATATAATACCTGTGGGTTAGGAGAGAATGCAGAAATGTTTCTGTTAAGTCAGTAATGCTTTGCCTTACCCATGCCAAAAAACTTTTGAAACAAGTGTGTTTTTATCATTCTTAAAAGTTAAAACACACATTGCACTTATTCACCAAAACAATACTCAGCACTGAATATTTATGACTTGTGAAAACATTAAAAATGAATGTGTTGTTGAGTTTGTTTTTTTACAGTTATTTATGTAATGATATTTTTTACAGGCATTTAGGTCAACAGCCTCAGTATCATCCCCTCAAACATGGTTTTGATGAATGGTTTGGTGCACCAAATTGTCATTTTGGACCGTACGATAACAAGAAGACACCAAACATTCCAGTATATAAAGATAAACAAATGATTGGCAGGTAGGTATGCTATAAATGTCCATGAATGTATACAGTGTGAAATTTAAACCGTACGATGACATATTTTACTGCATTTATAAATTTCTGTGTACAAGTTTTTGACAAGAAAATATCTTGGAATAACAAACATGAATTTGATAATTAATAAAGGAAATATGTGCAGTTTTTACTGAACGAAAACTCCTTTTTATGGAAAAATCATACAATTTCAAAATTGAGGGAAACATGTATACTCATTTTCATTAAAATCAGATCATTTCGCTCCGTTACTTCTCTTGGCTACCTAGTGAAGGGTGGTGGAGTGATAATTAGTATATGATTTAATGAGATTGCATGTATACTGTGAATTCACTTAACTCCTTGACATTAAATTTAGTGATTTTGTCAAAAAGGACTATTTTGAGGGATTTTAAATTTATGGGTTTTCTGTTCTTGCAAAACCTCAAAAAACAGATAATGTAATATGAACATAATCTTACAGCCAACAAAATAAGATTTCATTGGATCTTGAATATGTGGATTGGCATATCCACAAAAACCATGGAAATTAGTGACCCATGAATATTTATGATTTTGAAGTAGCTTTTATTGTAGGCAACAAAAGACGTAGTTATCTCATTCATAATTCAGGAGAAATTTTAGTGATCTGGTCCCGTGAAAGCGGGAAACTTTGTGTAGTTGTTGAACATAGGGCATGGAAAATAAAACTTTATTTTGATGGAATTTCAGGTATTATCAAGATTTTCTGATAGACAGAGAGACAGGGGAATCCAATCTTACACAGATCTATATTCAGGTAGGGTTAGATTCTTCCATTATCTTCTATAGATATACTTTGCTCAAATTTGGTATTTGAATATACAAATGTATTGATAATTGGTACACAGTCTCTTTGTGAATATTTCATTAACATGTTTTGACTTCACACAAAGTAGATATGTTTTGTTTAAAATTCTACACACCATACATGGTCACACAATGAATGTATAGTGCCTTTAAAAAACTGGCAGTTATTTAAAGAAAAGGCAAATTTTACTTGACCTGTAATAAGGAACGCAGCTTCCCATACATAGTCCATTCATTCTTTTAGTCAAATTAGACATATTCAGTAAGAATTTCATAGATTTCAATAAATTTCTTTGATAAAAATATTTTACCCAAGGATGAGCATAGTATATCTTAAAGTTTTAGTGTCATTCTTAAAACTGCATGCTTCAGATTAGCCCACTGCTTAGCTCAATAGTAAGAATATCAGATTTGTGTTCCATGGGCCACATGTCCGATCCTTCTGCAAGCAATAATTTCTCTGAGATTAGTTCTGAGACTAGTTTTATGATCATTTGTTTCTCACTGCTGATTTAAAAACTGTGGGATTAGCAGTTTGTCACTTGCAGAGATATTGGTAATTACTAGTTAGTTAACCCATTACACACCTTTTAACACCTTTTTCACCCCCTCACTTATTGTTGTCTCAAATTGTGAAAAAATGCCTAATTTAGGCCCCCAACACTTGTTTTTGTTTGAGAAATATTGTTTAAAAAAGTGACCACTTTTTTGGCGCAGCCCCCAACCAAAAGATACATAATGGGGGTTGCCAGAAGGGGGATGTGCCCCCTTCTGTTTGGGGGGTTTGCAGGGGGCAGCAGTTCCCCTCATCACCAAGAAAATTTTGGACTTGTGAGAGGCTAAAATGACCCCAGATCGATCATAAGGTAACGTGTAACTAACGCTGAAAAGCATTTGACTCTATCTCAATCCTTTGAGAAGTTGTAGCACTTTGATGGAAAAAATCAACGCAAAATAGTGATTTTAGGCAAATTTGAGATGTCCCCTCGTTGCCATGGAAACAGGAAATTTAAGCCTGGGCATGTTGTTACAAAGGCAATGGTCAAGTCAACATTTGTGCCATGTTTGATTAGTATTGAAGCCTTTTTTTTAGTTTTAAAGCAATTTGAACTTGTTACAGATGACTTTTCAATGAAAACAGCCATTTTTCACAAAATGCTCATGAAGTAATGGGTTAACTAGAAATGCTGGCTTGGTGATTTGACCACCAAAATATGAGTAAAAAATGTGTTCAAAGTGGCATAAAAAAGAAAATTAAACAAGAGTGAGGGTTTCAAAACATTTAGTGTTGGAAAAATATATTAACTGTTTACAAAATGTATACAATATGTATTCTAATTGTATTTATAACATTTGCTAAATTGTCAAAGAATTAACCATTAAAGCACAATACATGTACAGTTTTTCTGGACTTTGTACCAGTACATGACTTTAATGGTATGAAGTTGTCAAAGTTTATGTATAGATCATTGAAACTATGCATGAAAAGTAAGAATAAGGCACATTGGCATTTAAAGGAAAAATCAAAGAAAATAAGGGTTTTTAATGTTTCTACATGTTATTACATATTGAAGGTTTATAGAGTAACCATCTTATAAAGGCTTGAATATTTATTTTCATTTTTTGCACATCTCAATTGCAATATAAAGAAGTCAATTTGTTTTGTGAATTAACATTGCTGACAGTTCACTTGGCTTAATACATGTAATGGTATCTGAAATATATCAAAGTATTATCAAATTTATCAATATTATTGTAACATCATTTTACATGCTGTTAGTTCAGTACAATAAAAACCAGTAAACAGTACAATGGAAAAACTTTTTTTTCTAGATACGTTGAAAAAAATGATTTATTTAAGAAAGTTTGTAGTTTATTTTAGCTCCTCTCAAGTCCACTTTCTGAAACTAACCATTGCTGTTGTTGTATAAGGAAGCATGGGGTTGTGACCCCAATAGGACTTGAAACCACAATCCTTGACTACTAGGTCATTGCTCTTGTTAAAAGTCCCCTACTGGTTTACCGGAGGGGACTTTAGGTTTACCCTCCGCCCGTCTGTCCGTCCGCACTCACAGGAGAGTAATTATGTGGCTAGAGGGACAATAGGTAACTGTTCTTTCTCTTTGATGTCATTCATTCCGTAATGCTTTTTATGTGGCTATTTTCTTTTGTGTGGCTAAAAAGAACAATAGAGAGAACAATAGAGTAGCCACATAATTACTGTCATGTGAGAACGGACGTCCGTCCGTCTGTCAGTCCGTCCGTCCACAAAACTGGATCCCGCGATAACTTGAAAAGTACTGAAAATATTTTAATGAAACTTAGTATATGGATAGATGGCAGTATGGAGATTATGCACGTCATTTTCTTTTCTTCCTATGTTGAAAATTCTGGTTGCTATGGCAACCAATAGGCTGAAAATATGGCAAATTTTACACATAAACTGGATCCAGTGATAACGCAAAAAGTACTGGAAATATTTTTATGAAACTTGACATATGGGTAGATGGCAGTCTTGAGATTATGCACGTCTTTTTCTTTCCTTCCTATGTTGAAAATTCTGGTTGCTATGGCAACACATAGACTGAAAATTTGGCAAATTTTACACATAAACTGAATCCAGTGATAACTCAAAAAGTACTGGAAATATTTTTATGAAACTTGACATATTGGTAGATAGCAGTTTTGAGATTATGCATGTCTTATCTGTTCTTCCGATTTTGATAAAATATCAGTTGCCTTGGCAAAAAATAGGCTTAAAACATGGCAAATATAACAATATTTGTGATTAGTCAAAAAGAGCTGAAATTTTTTATGAAATTGCATCTTTAATTCAAGAGTTATCTCCTCTTTAAGAATTTTGCTTTTAAAATGTTATATTTTGGTAACAGGGATGTTTCAATATTAATTTTAGAGTGTCCTCAGTCCGTCTGTCTGTCTGTCTGTTCATAAAAACTGTTTCCTGTGATCACTTTTAAAGAACTTTTCCAACAAATTTACTTAAAATAGAGAAAAATTGAAACATTACTGAATGGCCAATGGCCCTTCAGAATGTTGATGGGGTTCTAACCGGTAGAGGACTTATGGATTGCTTGCAATACTATGATAATTGCTTGTTTCTTATGTCATTAATATGGCCTTTATAAACAAGTTTTTCTGCACTGTTTGACCTTATGAAAACATTTTGATACACACATCATTTAAAATGAAATATATTTTCATATTTTCTTTTTTCTTAAGGAAGCACTGACGTTCATAGAATCACAGGTGTCAAGCCAGGAACCATTCTTCCTATATTGGGCTGTTGATGCCACACATGAACCATTGTATGCTTCTAAACCATTCCTGGGTACCAGCAGAAGAGGGTTGTATGTATAATTTACATTATTATGTGATGTTTTCATGGAATGTACCACAGCTTGTTCTGTAAATGGTTATATGATACATTTTTAAACAAAAACACTTTATGGTTTTTCAACAGGCAAGTGAAATATCTAAAATATTGTCATTATGTTGGATTGCTCATTTGGATATATTATTTCGCTTCTAACACGACATCAACAAATAAATGCTGCCGTACCTGATATTTAGCTAAATCGCGCCTATTTGTTCCGTACTAATTGTCAGCGTGTCATATTTTTAGTGGTTACGTCACGTGTAAAATGATTAAGTCACATGTCTAAATATAGAACGTCAAACAGTGATTTTATAGCATAATAACACACACTTTCGGTTCTTCTATGTTCAATAGGGAAAAATGCGAGTCGTGTTAGAATTCAAGTTATTATTCATCTATATTAATAATCACAGGTATGGTGATGTAGTCAGGGAGTTGGATTATGGTGTAGGTAAAATTCTCAACAAGCTGAGACAACTGGGAGTCCAAGAAAACACCTTCGTTTTCTTCTCGTCGGATAATGGTGCTGCCACCTATGCCAAAATTCACGGTAATTATACATTGAAGTTTAAAGTTTGAGTGCATATACATGCATTTATTTTAGGAACACATATCGTCACCTTAGTGCAAGAACTCAATATCTGCTTCTTTATCTATATGCAGTTATTGAGTTTTTGCACTAAGGTGACGATATACATGCCTTTCCCAAAAGAGACTTGGTTATTTTATCATTTGAAAGTTGGTGTGTGATACAATTATTGTCTATAACAATAGTTTTAACTGGTTCTTTACATATAAAAGTGTAAATCACCTCTCTGCTCATTACAACCAAGGTGATAAAGGTCGCTAGTTTAAACAACTTGCTTCTCATCACTGTGGGTTGGAATCCCAATAGGGACATTGGATTCTTCCATATGAGGAAACTTTCCAGTTAGCTTACAGAATGTCAGTGGTTTTACTCATGTACCCACTTGTGCCTGAAATAATGCACAGAAATGCACCTGGGGTCTTCCTCCACCACAAAAGTTGGAAAAAAAATGGCTCTATGACCTTAATTGTGTTGAAAATGTAATTAAGGCCCAACCAAAAATATAAAAACCCAAGGTTTGAAATTTAACTTTTTAACCTGGTACAGTTGAGTCTGAAATACCCTAAAAAAAATTTAGACTGAAAACTGTAACAATGTTTACAAAAGTCTACAGTATGGGTTAATTTAATATTTTTATTACATGCTTTTTGGTGGTTTATAGAAATATACCAGTGATATAAAATTGGTAATTTTACTGTTAAATTCACTGTTTTGAATTTAAGCCCCTTACGTTGTTTCAGTGAAATACCAGCGTGCACAGTACTGAGTACCAACTTAATAATGTGATGTCATAAATGACATCACATTATATTATTATTTGGCGCGCTTTTCATTAAGTATTAGGTTTAATGTCTTTTTAAAACGTTTCTTTGCATGTAATAAAAAGAAAATTTGTTTAGTTTAGTGTAAGATCGAAATATATTTCACCTTGTGAACACCAAAAGTTCATATTTCACTCGTGGCTGCGCCACTCGTTTAATATACCTTTTGGTGCTCACTCGGTGAAATATTTTCCAATCTTACATTAAACTAAACAAATATCCTCTATATCTATAGATGTCTATTATGCTAGAAAATTAGACTGAAATCACAATCAGTTATAGAGTTGAATCAGAAGGATACTATCAATTGATTGATTGAAACAATCATTTATTATTTTTATGCAACATGTTCTTATCAACTTAAAAAAACAAACTCATTAACCATAGTTTTAATGTAAAAACATCAAATATTCATATACATATGTACCATTCTCAAATTTTATATAGTTTATTAAAGTGCATTGACAAAAATGGACCCATTTGTGACATGATATTATCAATTAAATACCAATTTTAGAGAATTTTTTGTTTCATCATATTATTAAAAATCTACTATAATTGATTGTCTTGTCAATGTAAATATGTAGCAAGGATTTATAAATTTTCGCCCACTTTTAATTCAACTCTACTTCTGTGGTAACTGGGGCATTATTTTTTCCTGAATTATGAATGTACTTGTATTGTATGTTCTTGTGTAAAGTTTGAAAATTTCTATGAAAGGCGGTAGTAATGGTCCATTTTTATGTGGAAAGGAGACAACATTTGAAGGTGGAATGAGGGAGCCATCTATAGCATGGTGGCCATCACGGATAATACCTGGACAGGTAAACACTGTTTTATCTTTGTTTGTCTATATCATACATGTACAGTTTAGTTCACACTAAAGATTACACAAAATGCACTTGGTGTGCACTACATGTGCACTTCTAGTGTGCTTCAATATGCACCTCAAGACATGTGCACTTTGAAGTGCTCTTCTAGTGCACTAGACCATTTATCATTGTGCACTGGACAGTGTTTCAGTTAATTTGTATAGCAGTTACCTTTAATTTCAGCAAATATCTTTAGTTTATGACTTTCAAAAACTAGATTTTGCTCAGATTTTTACTTTAATGTCTGAATTCATAGCATCTTGTTTGAAAATAAATCAAATAGAATCCAAATTCTGTAATAAACTACATGTATGTGGAATGAGATATTTTCATGACTTTGTAATTTGAAAATTGATGATAAAGTTTCAGTATATTTTATCATCTTTTGAACATAATGCACGATAGAAAATATTTACACAATGATTAGGCTATCTACTGATGTACCTTTTTATTATTATGAGACTTAACAATAAATTAAAAGATAGGGAGGGGAGAACAACACATAAAAAAACCAGGTCGGTTTCTATATTTACTTAAACTACCGGTTTCGGGTACTATATACCCTTCTTCAGGTTATCCTGAGACTTGGCCAATATGTTTCGTCACTGGCACATATAGTTTCAAAGTAAAGCAAACTTTAAGGCAAATCAACACTTTCAATTTCACATTATCATTTTTACAAATGTAAACAAGAAAGTGAAATATAACACCACACACCAAGAGCATCAGTGTGGTATTAAAGGTACTTTAGTTTATATACCAGTTTGCTTCATCAGGATACGACTGCTATCTTTTAATTTAAGGTTTCCAACCAGCTTGGATCTCTCATGGATCTGTACTCTACCCTAGCTAGTCTGGCTGGCCAGGATATACCTACAGATAGAGTAGTGGATGGCCTTGACCTGACAAAAGTTCTGTTTGGAAATTATGAGATTAAAAGGTAGGACTGGATATTTGTGAAAATTTTGTCCATCATTCATTGGCTATTCTAGCATATAAGACAGGATTATCTACTGTTTACACCGCTGCTCGAAAAACCTGTCTTACACCTACCATGTAAGACAAGTCATGCGTTTTGCAAATGATGTCATTCCCACGCACCTTTTATGAATGAGTTGCATTCTTAGGATGATGTCAATGTGCCATTATGAATGAAGTTGTAAATTCATACGCTACTATTAGAAAAAAGTGCTGAATGAAAATATCAGTTTTGTAAATTCTATCTGTGATATCATTAATTTGTAATATGCAAGAAAAGGAATCAAACACTGGCTGTCATCACAGACAGAATATCTAGCTCTCACATAACTGTTTAATGGAAACTGAGCAGAGCCTTGTTACCACCATAAACAGTTATTCTTGAGCTAGGTACTCAGGTCTATACCGGCAGATAGTGTAAGATTCTTACAATCTGAACACAGTTTATAAACGCTTAAACTGCTGGAAAATGAAATGACTAGCCTTTGTCACCAGTATAGACCCAGGCCAGCCAGCACATCTTTGCAGTGTGACTGGGCTCTGTATAGTTGGTATCTCCAGCCATGCAGTCTGCTTGAGCTCTGTATAGTTGGTATCTCCAGCAGCAGTCTGCTTGAGCTCTGTATTAGTTGGTATCTCCAGCCATGCAGTCTGCTTGAGCTCTGTATAGTTGGTATCTCCAGCCATGCAGTCTGCTTGAGCTCTGTATAGTTGGTATCTCCAGCAGCAGTCTGACTGGGCTCTGTATAGTTGGTATCTCCAGCAGCAGTCTGCTTGAGCTCTGTATAGTTGGTATCTCCAGCCATGCAGTCTGCTTGAGCTCTGTATAGTTGGTATCTCCAGCCATGCAGTCTGCTTGAGCTCTGTATAGTTGGTATCTCCAGCAGCAGTCTGACTGGGCTCTGTATAGTTGGTATCTCCAGCAGCAGTCTGCTTGAGCTCTGTATAGTTGGTATCTCCAGCCATGCAGTCTGACTGGGCTCTGTATAGTTGGTATCTCCAGCCATGCAGTCTGCTTGAGCTCTGTATAGTTGGTATCTCCAGCCATGCAGTCTGCTTGAGCTCTGTATAGTTGGTATCTCCAGCAGCAGTCTGACTGGGGCTCTGTATAGTTGGTATCTCCAGCAGCAGTCTGACTGGGCTCTGTATAGTTGGTATCTCCAGCAGCAGTCTGCTTGAGCTCTGTATAGTTGGTATCTCCAGCAGCAGTCTGCTTGAGCTCTGTATAGTTGGTATCTCCAGCCATGCAGTCTGCTTGAGCTCTGTATAGTTGGTATCTCCAGCAGCAGTCTGCTTGAGCTCTGTATAGTTTGGTATCCAGCCATGCAGTCTGCTTGAGCTCTGTATAGTTGGTATCTCCAGCCATGCAGTCTGCTTGAGCTCTGTATAGTTGGTATCTCCAGCAGCAGTCTGCTTGAGCTCTATGTATAGTTGGTATCTCCAGCCATGCAGTCTGCTTGAGCTCTGTATAGTTGGTATCTCCAGCCATGCAGTCTGCTTGAGCTCTGTATAGTTGGTATCTCCAGCCATGCAGTCTGCTTGAGCTCTGTATAGTTGGTATCTCCAGCCATGCAGTCTGCTTGAGCTCTGTATAGTTGGTATCTCCAGCAGCAGTCTGACTAGGCTCTGTATAGTTGGTATCTCCAGCAGCAGTCTGACTGGGCTCTGTATAGTTGGTATCTCCAGCAGCAGTCTGCTTGAGCTCTGTATAGTTGGTATCTCCAGCAGCAGTCTGCTTGAGCTCTGTATAGTTGGTATCTCCAGCCATGCAGTCTGCTTGAGCTCTGTATAGTTGGTATCTCCAGCCATGCAGTCTGACTGGGCTCTGTATAGTTGGTATCTCCAGCCATGCAGTCTGCTTGAGCTCTGTATAGTTGGTAATCTCCAGCAGCAGTCTGACTGGGCTCTGTATAGTTGGTATCTCCAGCCATGCAGTCTGACTGGGCTCTGTATAGTTGGTATCTCCAGCAGCAGTCTGGCTTGAGCTCTGTATAGTTGGTATCTCCAGCAGCAGTCTGACTGGGCTCTGTATAGTTGGTATCTCCAGCCATGCAGTCTGCTTGAGCTCTGTATAGTTGGTATCTCCAGCCATGCAGTCTGACTGGGCTCTGTATAGTTGGTATCTCCAGCCATGCAGTCTGACTGGGCTCTGTATATAGTTGGTATCTCCAGCAGCAGTCTGCTTGAGCTCTGTATAGTTGTTGGTATCTCCAGCAGCAGTCTGACTGGGCTCTGTATAGTTGGTATCTCCAGCAGCAGTCTGCTTGAGCTCTGTATAGTTGGTATCTCCAGCCATGCAGTTCTTGCTTGAGCTCTGTATAGTTGGTATCTCCAGCCATGCAGTCTGACTGGGGCTCTGTATAGTTGGTATCTCCAGCCATGCAGTCTGCTTGAGCTCTGTATAGTTGTATCTCCAGCCATGCAGTCTGACTGGGGCTCTGTATAGTTGGTATCTCCAGCCATGCAGTCTGACTTGGGCTCTGTATAGTTGGTATCTCCAGCAGAAGTCTGCTTGAGCTCTGTATAGTTGGTATCTCCAGCAGCAGTCTGACTGGGCTCTGTATAGTTTGGTATCTCCAGCAGCAGTCTGCCCTTGAGCTCTGTATAGTTGGGTATCTCCAGCCATGCAGTCTGCTTGAGCTCTGTATAGTTGGTATCTCCAGCCATTGCAGTCTGCTTGAGCTCTGTATAGTTGGTATCTCCACCATGCAGTCTGACTTGGGCTCTGTATAGTTGGTATCTCCAGCAGCAAGTCTGACTGGGCTCTGTATAGTTGGTATCTCCAGCCATGCAGTCTGACTGGGCTCTGTATAGTTGGTATCTCCAGCAGCAGTCTGACTGGGCTCTGTATAGTTGGTATCTCCAGCCATGCAGTCTGGACTGGGCTCTGTATAGTTGGTATCTCCAGCCATGCAGTCTGACTGGGCTCTGTATAGTTGGTATCTCCAGCAGCAGTCTGACTGGGCTCTGTATAGTTGGTATCTCCAGCAGCAGTCTGACTGGGCTCTGTATAGTTGGTATCTCCAGCAGCAGTCTGACTGGGCTCTGTATAGTTGGTAATCTCCAGCAGCAGTCTGACTGGGCTCTGTATAGTTGGTATCCTCCAGCCATGCAGTCTGACTGGGCTCTGTATAGTTGGTATCTCCAGCCATGCAGTCTGACTGGGCTCTGTATAGTTGGTATCTCCAGCCATGCAGTCCTGACTGGGCTCTGTATAGTTGGATCTCCAGCAGCAGTCTGACTGGCTCTGTATAGTTGGTATCTCCAGCCATGCAGTCTGACTGGGCTCTGTATAGTTGGTATCTCCAGCCATGCAGTCTGACTGGGCTCTGTATAGTTGGTATCTCCAGCCATGCAGTCTGACTGGGCTCTGTATAGTTGGTATCTCCCAGCCATGCAGTCTGACTGGGCTCTGTATAGTTGGTATCTCCAGCCATGCAGTCTGCTTGAGCTCTGTATAGTTGGTATCTCCAGCCATGCAGTCTGACTGGGGCTCTGTATAGTTTGGTATCTCCAGCAGCAGTCTGACTGGGCTTCTGTATAGTTGGTATCTCCAGCAGCAGTCTGACTAGGCTCTGTATAGTTGGTATCTCCAGCCATGCAGTCTGACTGGGCTCTGTATAGTTGGTAAGCTCAGTTTTTAGCTCACCTGTCACAAAGTGAACAGGGTGAGCTTTTTGTGATCGCTTTTCGCTTCCGGCGTCCGTCCGTCGTCCCGTATCCGTAAACTTTTTACTTTAAATGACATCTCCTCATAACCACAAAGCCAATTTCATCCAAACTTCACAGGAATGTTCCTTTGGTGGTCACCTTTAAAAATTGTTCAAAGAATTTAATTCCATGCAGAAACTTGGTTGCCATGGCAACCGAAAGAAAAAACTTTAAATATCTTCTTTTAAAAAACCGTAAGAAGCTAGAGCTTTTAGATATTTTGGCATAAAACATCTTCTAGTGAGTTGTCTACCAAGTTTTGTTCAAATAAAAGCCCTGGGGTCAAATTGGCCCGCCCGGGGGGTCATGAATTTTCCCTATTCATTATAGTAAAAAACTTAAGAAATCTACTTTTAAAAGAACCAAAAGAGCTAGAGCTAAGATATTTTAGCATGAAACATGTTCTAATGGGTGTCTACCAAGTTTGTTCAAATAAAAGCCCTGGGGTCAAAATTAGCCCCGCCCCGGGGGGTCATTGATTTTCCCTATATGCATATAGTAAAAACTTAAAAAATCTTCTTTTAAAGAACTCAAAGAGCTATGGCTAAGATATTGAGCATCAAACATGTTCTAATAGGTGTATACCAAGTTTGTTCAAATTAAAGCCCTGTGGTCAAAATTGGCCCCACCCCAGGGGGTCATTGATTTTCCCTATATGCATACAGTAAAAACCCGCTTTACGACCACCCCGTTTTCGAGACCAACCCGCTAATACGAACGATTTTTTAAAGACCCGAATTTTTTATTCTTTATTTTAATGGTCGCTAAACCCCGATTTTGAGACCACCCCGTTATTCCGTAATGCGACCAGTAAATTCAGTCCCATTTCGTAAATTCTGTACATTTGGAAACCCATAAATACGACCGCCGGGCACTTTCTCACCTTGATATTGACATGCGTGTATATTGCTGAAATCTTTTTGACACGTGATGTAAACAACAGTTGTCCTAGTTTTACGACTTTAAAACGACATCCAGTTTAATGGCAGAGGTCAAGGTTACTTTGTATTATACCCGGAAATGATCAATAATATTGTCGATAATTTCTTAATTTTCACACCTTTAAATGTCATAACTGGGGGATTAAAACAACAAAGTATTGAACAGAAACTTTCAATAAGTTTTTTAGAGGTGTTGCTGCTATCATTATCTCGTTTCGTTCCATAATTTTAAACAAATACGATTAGGTTTTGAAGTTTGTTATTCGGCGATGAAAACTTTTGTGAAAATAATTAAAGGTTAATTGTTTTTTCCGGTCGTGCTTTGTAGTAAAATTGGTGATTTAATAGAGTAAGTCGTGTCATTCTTTTAACAAGAATTGTAAAAAATATGTTTGTGTTTAAAGAACATTCATAATACATTTTTGTCTCCTCTAAAGAAGTTTAAAATTTTAATAATGTTAAAAAGTAAAAGAAAATAAATGAAAATAAAAAAAAAATAGTGTACAGTATGCTTTATATCTTCTCATTTGAAATAGGGTTAGCCCAGAATTAAACATGTGTACAGTACATGGTATCCCTTAATATATTGCCTAGTTTTCTGTTTGGCCAAACTCATTAATGAGACCAACCCGCTATTAAGACCAGATTTGTAAAGTCCCTTCATTGGTCTCATTAGCGAGTTTTTACTGTATAGTAAAAACTTAAAAAATCTTCTTTTAAAGTACCAAAAGAGTTAAAGCTAAGATATTTAGCATGAAACATGTTCTAATATGTGTCTACCAAGTTTGTTCAAATAAAAGCCCTGGGGTCAAAATTAGCACCGCCCCCGGGGATCATTGATTTTCCCTATATGCATATAGTAAAAACTTAAAAAATCTTCTTTTAAAGAACTCAAAGAGCTATGGCTAAGATATTGAGCATCAAACATGTTCTAATAGGTGTCTACCAAGTTTGTTCAAATAAAAGCCCTGGGGTCAAAATTAGCACCGCCCCGGGGGTCATTGATTTTCCTTATATGTGTATAGCAAAAACTTAAAAAATCTTCTTTGGAAAAACCCAAATAGCTAGAGTTAAGATATTAAGCATGAAACATCTTTTAGTAAGTGTCTACAAAGTTTGTTCAAATAAAAGCCCTGGGGTCAAAACTGGCCCGGCCCCAGGGTGTCATTGTTTTTTAACTATATGCGTATAGTAAAAACTTAAAAAAAATCTTCTTTCAAAAAGCCCAATGAGCTAGAGCTTAGATGTTTAGCATGAAACATCTTCTTATGGGTGTCTAGCGAGTTTGTGCAAATAAAAGCCCTTGGGTTAAATTGGCCCTGCAACGTTGGGGGGGGGGGGGTTGGGGGCCTATATACAGGTGAGCGACCTCAGGGCCATCATGGCCCTCTTGTTTTGTGTTTTGATACTGAAATCCCTGAAACATTGAATGGACTGTTCCAAATTCAAAGAGGGCGAATCCATTACACAATTTCACACATCAACACAGTAAGGCTATATGATAATTTCCCATTTTTACTGAAAGAGTGATACCTGGGGTGCCCCTACATGTTCTTACATGAAAGAATGTTCCTGGCCAGATTTGAACTCAAAGTTTTAAGGGGCAAGTGATTGGAAGTCAGCAACCTTACCTACTCGGCCATTGTGGCAGCTGTGACTATAAGTCTCTATATATGATTTACCTTCAGGCCATTGTGGCATCTGTGACTTTAAGTCTCTATATATGATTTATCTTCAGACCATTGTTTTACTATCGGGGTAATGAACTTATGGCAGTAAGGCTAGGGGAGTATAAAGCACATCTGTGGACATGGACAAACTCTGTACAGGAATTTCAAAGGGTAAACTTTAGTCTTTTGTAATTTTCTAGAATATTATATATTACTCCTTTGCATTTTAAAAATTCATTATATTTAGGTTAGGGTTTCAGTGAATATTTTATAGAAGCTTTAATTGGAAGAATGTACATGTGTTTAGTTTTTATTATTCACCATAAAATTATCTTTGTTAAACTTACCATTGATGGTATCCATATAAAAACACAATTCAGTAACCCGAGGTGATCTCAAACCCATAACACGACCTGCATTTTCCCCTATTGAACATAAAAGGACAGAAAGTGTGTGTTATTTAAGAAATAATATATCCCAAACTGTGATTTTATTGCTCAATAACATCACTGTTTGGAGTTCGGATGCGAGAAATTATATCACGAGGGCGTAGCCCGAGTGATATAATGATGCGCATCCGAACTCCAAACAGTGATGTTATCAAGCAATAAAATCACCGATTTGGATATATTATTTCGATTCTAACAGGACATCAACAAATAAATGCTGCCGTACCTGATATTTAGGTAAATTGTGCCTTTTTTGTTTCCGTATTTATTGTCAGCGCGTCACATTTTTAGTGGTTACGTCATGTGTATAATGATTATGTCACATGTCTAAATATAGAACGTCAAACAGTGATTTTATAGCATAATAACACACACTTTTGGTTCTTCTATGTTCAATAGGGAAAAATGCGAGTCGTGTTAGAATATGCAATAAAATCACTGTTGACGTTCTATATTTAGACATATGACGTAATCATTATACATGTGACGTAACCACTAAAAATATAACACGCTGAAAATAAGTACGGAAACAAATCGGGCACAAATTTAGCTTAATATCAGGTACGGCAACATTTATTTATTGATGTCGTGTTAGAATCGGAATAATATATCCAAATCGGTGATTTTATCACTTCATAACATCACTGTTTGTCGTCTGGCTGCGCATCATTATATCACTCGGGCTACGCCCTCCTGATATAATTCCTCGCATCCAAACTCCAAACAGTGATGTTATTGAGCAGTAAAATCACTGTTTGGGATATATTATTTCTTAATTCTCATGGTTATAAGAAGAAGGCATCTTACCCACTATGTAATCTCCATCAACTATTGTTTTAAATTGTTTTCCTTACATCTTTTTCTTCTTAACTAACAACATGATTCTGTTAAGAGTTTCATGCTAAATTTTCATTGTTTAAGCATGACTCTTGGTGAACATTTTTGTGTTTTAGGGAGTCAATTTTTGCCCTGGCCAGTCAATAGAGAATGTGACAACACATGACCAAGTTAATCATACTACAGAACCATTGTTGTTTCACATAGGACGAGACCCTGGGGAAAAATATATCATCAAGTAAGTATCGTAGGAGATTTAGATAACTGACTTTGATTTTATTGCCACTCAAGGCTGCTTTCTCTTCACTTGGACTCTCAACCATATTTGGACATTCTTTTGTGGATTCGAATCCTACCAGAGACCACAGATTTATATTACATTTGTAATATAAATCCGTGCAGAGACTCTGAATTTTTTCATGAGGATTCTGTTGTCTTTACAAATGGAAGGAAGGTGGTTATTCTCAGGTGTCATTTTGTTCTTGAAATACAAATATAATACAAAATGCTTGAAAAATTTCAAGAAGGTTAAAATGAGTGTTTAAAAGAGTATAAATAAAGAAAAGACCAAAATGTTAAAATCAGCGGGGCTGGAAAACTAGGTTGATATAGTTAATATGTTCAATGTTAGATAAAAAGCTTCACATTAGTCATTGGTAATCCATCCAACCAGGAACAAAAGAAAAAAAAGATGATTATAGTTGGGGCTAGGACTCTGTTAAGATTGTCAACTTCTGGTGAAAACAGGAATTTATATTTATAAATAACTTCACCCCTACATAAAGACCGGAAGCATAACTGTACAGAGTAGAGGGAAGGTGAAATAGTAACAAAGATAGAAATATAAAAGAAATGAAAAAAAAGGTGTTTTTTTATTTACAGGCCAAATTCACAAGAATATAAAGATAACATAGGATCTATAAAACAAGCTGTGAAGCAACATAGGGCAAACCTTGTACCTGGTAAACCTCAGCTTAATTGGTGTGATAAATCTGTCATGGTGAGTAAAGATTGGCAAATATGATTTTATAATTAAATGCAATGTTTTATATTATTAGTTAAAAAGATTTTTGGCAGGTTATATGGTCAAGTATAAATATTTCTAGTAGGGGATTATATTGCAAAATACTGTTTTAGTCGGGGGGGGGGGGGGTTAAATTGCAAAATACTGTTTTAGTATCATGTAACCTGTCAAAAATCTTTAAAATAGATTTATAGTACAGTATGATAGTTATACATGTATATATGATGTTTATAAATTATAAAATTGTAAATGTTATCCAATGGAAAGCACCTTACAAAATTGCAGTATTAGAATTTACTATGTTTGGTCTTAAAACATAGTGTTCTTGTGACTTAAAACTTAAAATGAAATTTAAAAAATGTTTTTATTTCATTGTTTATTGAAATTTCTTTTTTTTCAGAACTGGTCTCCTCCTGGATGCGAGAAGTTAGGGCAGTGTTACAATGGACCATCATCTAACCCAAAGAAATGTGTTTGGCCACATTAAGCCTTGAAATAGGAGTAATACATGTATCTTGCATTCCAAAGGAAAAAAATCATATCCAAAGCTTTTATAAGATATCATTTAAGTGCAATTTTGCATAAACTGTTATCTTTTTAGTTGTTTTAAAGTATAACTTTCTACATCATGTGCACTGTGTATATCCAGTAGGTAACACAAGAATTTAAAAGTAATTTGGGACTTTTTTGCAATAGCAAAAACCCCCCTCATATCATATATGATAAAAGAGCACCACAAATTTTTTTTTTAGCAAAAAACCAATTTATTTTTTATAGTAAAAACAAATTTTATAGAAAAAAAATTTAAACAAAATTAAAGGGTGCTAAAACATTTTTATTTGGAAACCCAAAATTACAAAATTTTCAAAAAGTGTTTCCTTTTTTTTGGTCCCAAAAGTGATTTTTTTTTAAAATTTTCTTTTTGTCCCTGAAAAAAAACCCGTTTTTTTTATGGTTTTATAATACTCCATGAACAAAAATGGTAAAAAAATTGCTAATACCAACAAAATTCACGAGGGATTTGACTGTCCATTATAATTAATTGGAATATCGAGATGAAATTTAAAGTTGATCAGTCTACAGTTTAAAGCTTGTTCAGATTACACGAATGTGTAGGCTAGCCAGGTTATATACTCATGACAAAGGTTAATCACTTTTGGTTCCAGCAGGGTCAAAGTTAAGACTGAAGTTATTTTTTCATTGTTTATTTTTCTAGTCATAAAATTCATTCAATATTTTTCTGTGTTTATGTTGACTTTTATATACTTATACATTTTTTGCTCACATGAGCAGAAAGTTTTCAAATGTGAGTTTTTGTGATGATCAAATGTTTGCTGATGTGTATTGTCACAATTTCTTTCAACGATGTTTCCTTCCAAACCACCGGGTAGAATTTGGCTAAAATGCAGAAGAATTATCCTCAAATAGTTCTAACTGTTTTTAGTCTAATGCATAAAAAGGCCAAAGAAGTTAAAAAGTTTAGTTTGAAATACTTTAAAATCTATTTGTCAGAATCTAAAAGACCCTAAACTTTGGTATTTAGTATTTGCAAAAGTGTTCTGCAAAAATTGTAGAACTCATGCCTATATGGTCAAAATTGTCCATGTCTGGTAATCTTTTGGATGATAATAAAACTTTTAAAAATAATATATAATGGAATTTCATGCTCATAGTTTAGATATTTTGTATGTAGAGCTGTCTAGCGATCCTTTACAATTTACTGAAAGCTTTATAATTACTTTTGGGTCAAATATTGCACAGCTCTGACAATAAGATATATAATTCATAGGCTTGAGTATGACAGAAATATGTAAAAAATCTTCTTGACTGAAACCAGATCTACAGCAGGTGTATACATGTAAGTCATTGCAATGGGGTCAAAATAAAAACTGATGCCCTGAGAATATTTTGATTATCATTTACTAAGGTTAGCAATATATGCCCATTTTGGTGTCATGTTGTGTTGTTATAGAAGTGTTTTGAACAAAGAATCTTAGCTTATAGAATCTCACATAGTTATTTATCTTATAGAATCTCACATAGTTAATGTTTAGCTTATAGAATCTCACATAGTTAATGCATTTATCTTATAGAATAGAGATTATTTATGAAATTGAGTGCAAGAATGTCAAAGGGACATATATGTACATGTCCAGTTGGTTCAAAACCAAAGCACATAAATTAATTTGTGTATTTACAGGTAAATTGGTAGATTTTTTTAACCATTGTTAAACTAATGATGTTATTCAGAAGATCCTGCATTGGTTTGGGAACTGCTTATTTTTGCTTTAAGGGTATCAGGATTTAACTGTTTATTTTCTATGAATAAAAAAATAGTTGAGCATTTAACAGTAAATATAGTTTGTTAAAATTGTTGATTCAGAAGTGAAACCCTCCTACTTAATGTTAATTTTATGCATATATATGTACATGTATAAACGATATTATGATAATCAAGTAGAATATAGAAAGTGTAAATTTTGCGGGATTAATTTGGGAAACGGATATTACTGGTATCATGTCTTTTGTTAAGTAATTGTATCAAGATAACAATATACATATAGTAATTGCTTTACTTATTGTGTTATCAAATGTAAAATGTATATAAAGGTAAAAATATTTTATGATCTAACTGTTAAGTAAGAATGTAAAAGCTATTTGTTACCTTGAAGTGTATTCATATATAATAACAAAAGAAGTAAGGGATTTTTTTGTAGATAGGAAATATGTGAGCCGTGTCATGACAAAACCAATGTAATGTGTTTGCGACCAGCATGGATACAGACCAGCCTGCGCATCCGCGCAGTCTGATCAGGATCCATGCTGTTCGCTTCCAAACCCTATAACAAGTAGAGAAACTGATAGCGAACAGCATGGATCCTGATCAGACTGTGCGGATGCGCAGGCTGGTCTGGATCCATGCTGGTCGCAAACCCATTATGTTGGTTTTGTCGTGACGCGGCTCAATTATGTTTATGGGGTCTTAGTAACGGATAAGTTACGTATTATGACGACATGGCTGGGGGAAAGCTGATGCCATTACTGGGAACGTACCTTTCAACTATTGCTCAAACTGTTGTCTGTTGTTCTATATGTTATATATGTTAAATTACAAATCTTATGTCATGGTATTATCTCCAATAGACTCATTTACTACAGTAATATCTATAGTTCCGCCTTGACCAATTTGATATCTCCCATATTGTAAATTTCATTGTAAAGTATGAGTATAAAGAATGTGCAATGCATATTCAAATTATGTTATAACATGACCATAAATACAATGTGTGTGTGTGTGTAAGTAAAGTTTATTATTGTCAAATGAATATATAAGTTGGTCTCACTTTGATAATTAAGTACATAGAGTTACGCTAGCAGTACTTGTTTTTGAAAAAATACTCCCACCTAAAAAACTTTTTATCTTTCATTTTGCAACAATAAATATATTTATACAGCAGTTCATTATGATTGGTTGTATTACTTGCCTGATTTTTAAATGCCCTTTATTTTTCTTCTATTCTCTGTCAACTGCTTTTGAATAGTTAAACTTTATTTGATGTTTTTCGTGTCAATTTTAAAACTATACTGAGGTCAAGGGCTAATTACGTTCAACTCCTGCAGTATAAACGTTAACTACTTTCATTAAATTGGGTATATTAAGGTTGCTGTTTTGATTGTGATTTATCTTTGACCAATATCTTGTGGACAAAAATATCATTTGCTCATTTGGATTTTACGGAATTGTCATTTTTATTGTGTAAAATTACCCATAAATGAAAAGCAATTACACTTAAGCTGGGCCAATAATTGCACTAAAAATATTGTTTAATGTAATTGCAATTGTATTTCTTGATCATCTTTACAAATTTATCGTTTTTATTACCGCAGATAATCTATGTATGCCTAAGAATTTAAATGTTATGTCTACAGGGTTTTGGTCTGCTTTAACAGTTTTCCGTTATATGACTTTATTGTTTATTCTTTAAGATTTGTCTATTTGTTTCTGGTTTGACATTTCTTTATGTTTTATAGCATAAAAAACCATCAGAAGCATTTATTTTTTGAGCACAGAGTAACTAAACGTTTTTAGTGTATTGGATTAGGATTTTTTGGTGGGTGGGGTGTTGGATGGCGGTGGATGGGGCCAAATGTACGATTATCAATTACCATATATTTTCTGAGAAAGAGAAAAATTTCACAATGTCTTTTTGAAAGATTCTGGTGTTTTATTATATAAATTTGCAGTAAATTGACTTTATACACCAGTCTTTCACCATTAAACACTTTGATATTTTGACAATATATAAGTCGTGTGAATCTCATTGAAATGTAGGCTTATAGATATATATTTTCATATGTCAACGTTTATATATATATACACATGTATAAATATACATATAAACTGAGGGAAATACTGTTTAGTTTTGTAATAAATAAAACTTGAAACTTCATAAGTGCTTTATTGTTATTTTGTTTTCATCTATGTTTATGTATTTTTATTTTTAAGGCGCACACTTCATCATAAAGTACCTGTCTAACTCGTTTGATTTGGAAGGGAGCACACCCTCCTATTAATCACTATCATCTATTATCTAATTGTCTAATTTATCTAATCTGATTTTAACCATCTGTACAATTTTTCCCTTTGCATGTTTTACTGTTATGAATTAGGTATAAAAATAATTGGCATATCCAAAAATGGTCAAAAGCAATATACCCTGGCTTGCCCAATATTTGTGTAAAATAATCATGATTGCATTGATACAATTTTTAATGCCCGACTTTAGACAGCTGTTAGTTAATTATCATTGAAGCTCCAGTAGCTTTAATGCCACGTTTGCTATTTACTTCAAAAGTTGACTAGGCATAATCATAGGCACTTGGTTTCGGGATAAAATAACCCTTTAAGAGGTTTGTAGAACTCAAATATAATTGAATGTTCCATTTTTTTTAACGTAGATGTCTTTTCTAAAACCGTAATTTTTCCGATATTACTAAAAAAAAACAACTTTGTCTATGTCTGATTTAGAAAGGAAATCGACTGTTATCAATTTCACAATATCACTGTTATTCTTTCTTCCTCTGTATAAAAGAAACATATCTCTGTCACTTCTGCACATGGAACCTGCCATTGTACTATATGTCAGTAAAAGAAGTTGAAATATATCGCCTTATTACGATAAAGGTCTATTGCGAAGCATAATAGGTTGAGACATCAATGATAATTGTTTTGTTAAAAGTAAATATACAATTAAGGATTTTTAATACCTAAATAATGAAAACGAATTGTACTAATACTATCCGTACTGAGGTGCAGTACCATTTAGGTAAGGTATAATATAATTATAATATAAAGATAAACAGAACTTTCCTTAATTTTCTCTAAAAATACAAGCACATTCCATAAAAAGATTAACTCGGGTAAACATAACTGCGGGTGATTAACTTAATTCTGACCATTAAAATTATACACATTATATTTGAAGAAGTCCCAAACACCACCTTAAACCAAAACAAACAGTTTTGCGTTGACGAGGCGCATTTATTTGGTTAACGGGAACAATGTATGTAAATATACAATAGCTTTTACTTTTGTTTACCAAAATGCAAAGATAGTGTAATATATTAATACTAAATTCATTCATAATGATAATAAATTATCTTATCCGCTACTTATAATCTGGGACAGAAGCCAATCTTACAGTATAAACAATCTGGAAGTGAAACATTTCATTTACTTTTATAACTTAAAAACGGACTCTCCCATACTATTATTAGAAACTTCTGTTTATCAAAACATAATGCATGTATCCCTGACATTTCTTATTATTCCATCTAGTCAAAATCAAATTTATAAAAGTTCAGTAACGCTATCTATTGTTTTGGTTGGCTTTTGAATAGCATCAGTAATATAGTGTAATAATTTATCAGATTAGTGGATACAATAAGAATCTCATCACAAAATGTTCGTTAACAAAAAAGCACAATGTCAATGTTTGTGGTTAAATATATTGATAGTCAAATAAAAGGGTAGGGATCTTTCAATTATGATCGTAAAACGTTTATTGACATTACGAAACGCATCACATGATGAGATTAAATACGTGCGTTTTTTCTTCTTTTTTTTTGGCAAATCCTTCTTTAGAAATTAAAGTTATTAAAATGATACCTACGTCAAACATTAATCCGTTAGATATACTTGCTAATCCACACTCAAAATAAAAATCGTATGACAATGTAAGTCAATAGTGGAATGAACAGATTTGTAATGTGACAAAGTAGGGCGAATGAAATAAATTGAATGAATAAGTAAAATACATTAAGACAACCAGTTTACAACTTACAAGAGGATTTCTCGATTTCTTTTTCTTTCCCACTCTATATAATTCCTTGTGTCCATTATCTAACATTGTATTGTATAGGAAAGAAAGAAGAGTAAAAGATTGATAAACGTGTATGTAAAAATCATGTAGAATGATTCTTGTAATTAAACAGTACCAATCGTTGCGGTGTTCCGAATGAATGCAAGCGTATAGAAAGCTATTTATATTTCCTCTATTCTTGGGGAAAATATTATTTTTTTTTTGTCCCAGCTCTTTTAAGAAATATTCAATGAAATTAGCAATCTAACGTTCATAATCGTTGCAATTGATCATGAAATCATTTGTACGGTCATACTGCTCTGGCATGTACAGACGTGTAAGTGCAGGAAATTAGTACTAGTTGACAGCCTGTCCGGAAATGATGCGATGGTTGAACTGCGCTCGGGTGAATTCAAATTCAAAGAGTCTTACTACCGTGATGGTAAAATGCCAACACCATTAACAACAACGCGTTGCCATGCTTACGAGACAGCACATAATTTAAACACTTCCATCTATAATAACACATGTCCATGCTTACAAAAAATTAAATTTAAACACTTTTAGTTAGATCATGAATATGTTAAAAATATCCGCTTGAGGAAGAATTTAAAAAAAAAAATATGTTTGAGATACAAATAAAATTTCTTTCTCGTTTAGCAAAAATGCTTGAGAACTGGACTTTACAGTTGTCTACACAGGCCTTTGCACAGATGTTCGGTTTTGTTGTTGTTGTTGTTTTTTCTTTTTCTTTTTTTCTTTAATTACGACTTTGCAAGACCCACAAATATGATCACATTCAAAAGTGACATAAATATACTCGTAAAAAGGACAATCCAGTCAACCATATAGCTTATTTTCTTCCAAGTAATTAGATCGCCTTCGTCTTCTGACTTTTCCAGCTCGTGAATCGTTTCCTTTTCACTGTATCCAGATTTACTCTGCGGTCTAATTTGTTTACTTTTCTCTGAACTGATCACAATAACTGGCTCCACCTCAACATTTCCGATTCGGCTTATTTTGCTTATTTTTCTTCGGGTACACGTAAAAAATCTGTACATAGACTTGAGCCACGCAGGTACAATAAAGCTGTCGTCCCTACTATACAGGCGCATGTTAAGGATGGTGACACATACTATAAGTGCGCTTATAAACAAGTCTATAAATAACTTGTAAGATATAAGCGGTACTGGCTTCGAAGTTTGGGGCAACAAGTCATTGACAATGGTCATGTACACAGCAATAGCGAGCAGTGTTGTGATACAGTATCCAATACGTTCTCCCGATTCTGGCACCAAGAGAAACACAAGAACATTTAACATGCTTAGAATTGATATTGGCATTATAATGTTTATCACAGCAAAAGTTGAGTCCCTTTTCAACTTTATAGTGAACGTTATTTCAGACTCATTTCCAGGCGCTACCGTCTTAACGTTAACTTTTGATCCAGTAACATCCCATACAGAGTGAGGAGTATATACATCTAAAGAGACGTTGGGCATTCCAGCTAGAAGATTCACTTCATGGCTTTTGTAACCAAGGGAAGTAAAACTCGTGTCGCAACTCTGAGTGTCAAATGGAAATTTCCTAGCGTTAACACTACACGTGCTTTCAATGAGATCCGCTGGTATCCATTCCATTTGACCATATTGGTCAACACGTATTCTGTCTGTTGATTTCCCTATAGTTGACCCTTTTGAAGAAGGACTGGATAACGTCATTTCCGGAACCCATACATCACCGAACGCCACTGTAAGCTGTTCGATGCCACCATTAACACTTGGGTCCCATTGTAATTTTTCATCTGTCCATACTAGTACCAACGCTGCGACAAAAGAAAACCTTTCATCAACTTCATCAAATTCTCTAATTGACTTAATTGACATGTATATGTTAACGTTTATTGCCGTGTTTTGGTTCGTTATCGGACGCACATTTTTGTTATAACCAGTGAATAATGACGTATGCAGAGTCTCCATTTCCGTTATTGTAGCAGCGTTGATAAGAGCTATTACAAAATGTAATATTATCAAGAACAATAGTGTCCGGAACATAATAGTGTTTTCTTTGACCTCTATTTTTGCATATATTTAATTCAATAACTAATTTTAAGTTTTAATTTTATCAAGAAACTTTGTGTCCGAAACACAATATATTTCCCTTTGACCGTCTTTTTGTATCTTTTAAATTCAATAACTAATTTTATGTTTTAATTTCCACTGCCTTTTCAATAAAGAGCTTCGCCTAAACTGAAAAGATTATATTAGATCTAGCATTAGTTAAATGGCTAACGGTCGTTTATCTCTGCTATGGTATTGTTTAGAGTTCATTCATCGTTTAATTCTTTGCGTGATTTAAAAACGCAATTACTTGTTTCATTTTACTTGGTTAAGGTTCAAACAAGGCTTAAATAATATTTTTGATTTAAATCAAAAGATTTTACTGATCTTTAGCCGCTTAAAATGTTTAGAAGATTACAAAAGCAGTTGCAAAATCATAATAAAGGAATAAAATATTTCTGATAAGCAATGAAAATATGAGTATATCACAGATTAATTGAAAGCATTATAACAAATTATTATGCTAGGCATTTTAGCCAAAAGTTAGACCTATCCAAAACAAATACCTCCAGAAAAGATATTTGCATATTTGCTATCTACTACATATATGTTGCTACCGAACAAAAGTCCTAAAACAATCGAAGAATAAAGTGTTAAAATGCCATGCACCGATTTCATATGATTTTTTATTTAGGAAAATTATATGAAAATAAAAACAAGTAATATTTATTTATTATTTAGATATAATTCTGCTCTATATAATCGATAAATGTTTGTCAACGTGTGGTCTTTATTTTAAGGTGAAGCTTGATGACATAAATGAATATCAATATTTGTCTACACAATATCTTCTTCTCAGCCTTTTCCGTCAAACTTTGGATGATGAATTATAGTTGATGTGTACGGATTGTTTTGTTTTGTTGTTGTTTTTTTAATTTTCAGCAACATAGGTTGCCCATTTATTTCCCCCGTAATTGGTGCAGTGGGGTCGGAGAGCCATCCCCTACTGTACCTTACATTAATATTTCATAGGCTTAGAAATATATTTTCATATTTCAACCTTTTTATATATACACGTATATTTTTACATATAAACTGAGGGAAATACTGTTTAGTTTTGTAATAAATAAAACTTGAAACTTCATTAGTGTTCAACAGTTGATTTTTTCATATATGCTTATGTATTTTCATTTTTAAGGCACACACTTCATCATAAAGTAGATTTCTAAATCTTTGGATTAGAAAGGGAGCACACCTTCTTGTCAATCACTGTCGTCCATTATACAATTAGATTTTAAATGTCTGTACAATTTTTTCCCTTGGCGTCTTTTACTGTAATGAATGAGGTATAAAAATAATAAGCATATCCAAAAATGGAAAAAAGGTCAAAACAAACAAAAGCTTGTCCATTTTGCATAAAATAATCATAATTGCATTAATACAATTTTTTCTGCCCGACTTTAGAAAGTCGTTAGTTAATTACCATTGAAGCTCCAGTCCCTTTAATGACACCTTTGCTATTAACTTGAAAAAAATGACTGGGCTAAATCATGATTTTAAAACAATAACACTATAATCTCTGCATGCTATTAAGGAGAAAACATCAGCTCCTCTCATAGAACATGAATACACCTAGGCAATACACCTACGTTATAAGGCAATGTTCGTTCGCAAGAAATAACAAACTTTGTCTATTTGGATGATTTAGAAAGGAAATCGACTGTTATCAACTTCAAAATATCACTGTTATTCTTTCTTCCTCTGTATAAAAGAAACATATATCTGTGTCACTTCTGCCGTAAATGTAGCACATTGTACTATGTCAGTAAAAGAAGTTGAAATATATCGCCTTATTACGATAGAGGTCTATTGCGAAGCATAATAGTTTGAGACATCAATGATAATTGTTATGTTAAAACTTAAAAGTAAAAAATAATTAATGGGTTTTAATACATAAATAATGAAAACGAATTGTACTAAAACTGTCCATACTGAAGTGCAGTACCATTTATGTAAGGTATAATATAATTACATGTATGCTATAAAAGTTAAACAGAACTTTCCTTAGATTAGTTCTAAAAATACAAGCACAGTCACTAAAAAGATTAACGCGGGTTAACATAACTGCGAGTTATTAACTAAATTCTGACGATTAAACTTAATACACATTATATTTTAAGAAGTCCCAAACACCACCTTAATTCAAAACCATTACAAACAGTTTTGCGTTGACGAGGCGCATTTATTTGGTTGATGGGAACAGTGTATGCAATAATACAATAGCTTTTACTTTTGTTTACCAAAATGCATTGATAGTGTAATAAAATAATACTGAATTCATTCATAATGATTATAAATTATGTTTTCCGCTACTTATAATCTGGGACAAGCCAATCTTACAGTATTGTGGTGCCCAGACCACTGCTTTATGTTTCCAGGACAGTCTGCAGCCCCACATAAAACTCAGGGTTCGTTTTACACGGCCCAAGTACAAATTATAAAGATGACACAAAAGACATTTTGTAACTTAAAACTCTTTTAATTAAAATATAATAAAGATCTATTTATTTAAATATACATTAAGTCATGGATGCCTAAATCTATAATTATTATAAATAAAGCTGACCAGATTCAGTAAACAAGTACCAAGTTTGGTACGACATAATCGATGAGATACCAGATCTGATAGTAACCAGATTGGGTACTATACCAGATTGGGTATTATACCAGATTTGGTATGAATAATGAACAAAATATGGAACAACAGTTCTCTACACTGGCAATGTAAATTATAACTGTTTAACAATAACAACAATTGAAATTCACCTGTATCATATCCGTTTCTGGTCACATACTCGTCTACAATTGTCAACTCAAACGAAGAGTAGGCCTACTTATCTGCTAATATTTTTTGATGCGTTTATTTAAGGTCGCCGCCGGAAAGCCCATATGGGCGACCGTACACTCAAGTCGGGTCATCCTAGAGCGACCCGCCGAGATTTTTCGTCGATTTTTACCAGCTTTATTGGTGGAGGAAGACACCAGGTGCCCCTCCGTCATTATTTCAGGCACGAGCGGGCACCTGGGTAGAACCACCGACCTTCCGTAAGCCAGCTGGATGGCTTCCTCACATGAAAGATTTCGACCCGAGTGAGGATCGAACCTACAGTGGTGAGGGACCTGTGATCTCAAGTCAACGACTTTAACCACTCGGCCACGGAGGCCCCAAACTCTGCTTATATGAGATGACAGCGCAGTATTTATAGTACCCTGTGACGTCATCACATTAATATTCAAAATGGCCGACCAGTGGCAAATTCAGAAATGTGACCAAATATTAAGCAAGATTACATGAAAAAAAATGTATGTCAGCATTTATGAATGGATAATAAACATTTATATATACAAATGGCATCTGAAAATCATAATAATATAAGATAAAAGCAGTTACATAGATAGAAATCATCAAAACAATGCGATGGTTCGTACTCAGAAATATTCGTACCCAAAGTCGGAAAATGAATAAATGTTAAAGAACATTGATCATATAGCCTGAGCATCACAGTATAACCAATCTGGAAGTGAAACATTTCATTTACTTTTATAACTGTAAAACGGACTCTCCCATACTATTATTAGAAACTTCTGTTTATCAAAACATAATGCATGTATCCCTGACATTTCTTATTATTCCATCTAGTCAAAATCAAATTTATAAAAGTTCAGTAACGCTATCTATTGTTTTGGTTGGCTTTTGAATAGCATCAGTAATATAGTGTATTAATTTATCAGATTAGTGGAAACAATAAGAATCTCATCACAACATATTTGTTTACAAAAGAGCATATGTCCATGTTTGTGGTTAAATATATTGATAGTCAAATAAAAGGTTAGAGTAGGTATGTATCAATTATGATCGTTTATTGACATTACGACACGCATCACATGATGAGATTAAATACGTGCGTAATCTTTTTCACAAATCCTTTTTAAGAAATTATAGTTATAAAATGATACCTACGTCAGACATTAATCCGTTAGAAAAACTTGCTAATCCACACTGAAAATAAAAAATCTTATTACAATGTAAGTCAATAGTGGAATGAACAGATTTTTAATGTGACAAAGTAGGGCGAATGAAATAAATTGAATGAATAAGTAAACACATTAAGACAACCAAATAACAACTTACAGGAGGTTCTCACGATTCCTTTTCATTTCCCACTTTATATGATTTATAACCATTCAGACTTGTGTCCATTATTTAACATGTCATTGTATAGGAAAAGAAGAAAAAAAAACAACGTATTGTAAAAGATTGATGAATGTGTATGTAAAAGAGCATGTAGAATGATAGTTCTTTAAAATTCTTGTTATAAAACAGTACTAATCGTTTCGGTGTTCCGAATGAATGTAAGCGTATATAGGAAGCTTCATACTTTTCCTCTATTCTTGGGGAAAATATTATTTTTTGTCCCAGCTCTTTTAAGAAATATTCAATGAAATTGGCAACCTAACGTTCAAAATTGTGCTATCTTTTCTACAGTCATACTACTCTGGCATGTACAGACGTATACAAGTGCAGGAAATTAGTACTACTTGACAGCCTGTTCAGAAACGATGCGATGGTTGAATTGCGCTCAGGTGAATTCAAATTCAAAGAGTCTTACTACCGTGATGGTAAACTGCCAACACCACCAATTACAACGCATTCCCATGCTTACAAAACAGCACATAATTTTAACACTTCCATCTATAATAACACATTTACATGCTTACAAATTGAAACACTTCTAGTTAGATTATGAATATGTCAAAATTATCCGCTTGAGGAAGGATAAAAAAAATATTGTTGAGATACAAATAAAATTCCTTTCTCGTTTAGCAAACATGCTTGAGAACTGCAATTTACAGTTAGTTATATACACATGCCTTTGCAAAGATGTTTGTTTTTTGTCTTTTTTATTTTTCTTTAATTATGATTTTGCAAGACCCACAAATATGATTACATTCAAAAGTGACATAAATATACTCGTAAATAGGACAATCCAGTCAACCATATAGCTTATTTTCTTCCAAGTAATTAGATTGCCTTCGCCTTCTGACTTTTCCAGCTCGTGAATCTTTTCCTTTTCACTGTATCCAGATTTACTGTCCGGTATAATTTGTTTACTGTTCTTTGAACTGATCACAATTACAGGCTCCACCTCACCATTTCCAATTCGGCTAATTTTGCTTCGGGTACAGGTTAAAAATCTGTACACAGACTTGAGCCACGCAGGTACAATATAGCTGTCGTCCCTACTATACAGACGCATGTTAAGGATGGTGACACATACTATAAGTGCGCTTATAAACAAGTCTATAAATAACTTGTAAGTTATAAGCGGTACTGGCTTCGAAGTTTGGGGCAACAAGTCATTGACAATGGTCATGTATACAGCAATAGCGAGCAGTGTTGTGATACAGTATCCAATGCGTTCCCCCGATTCTGGCACCAAGAGAAACACAAGAACATTTAACATGCTTAGAATTGATATTGGCATTATAATGTTTATCACAGCAAAAGTTGAGTCCCTTTTCAACTTTATAGTGAACGTTATTTCAGACTCATTTCCAGTCGCTACCGTAATAACGTTAACTTTTGATCCAGTAACATCCCATAAAGTGTGAGGAGCATATGCATCAAAAGAGATGTCGGGCATTCCAGCTAGAAGATTCACTTCATGGCTTTTGTAACCAAGGGAAGTAAAACTCGTGTCGCAACTCTGAGTGTCAAACGGAAATTTCTTAGCGTTAACACTACACGTGCTTTCAATGAGACCCGCTGGTATCCATTCCATTTGACCAAATTGGTCAACACGTATTCTGTCAGTTGATTTCCCTATAGTTGACCCTTTTGAAGAAGGACTGGATAACGTCATTTCCGGAACCCATACATCGCCGAACGAAACTGTAAGCTGTTCGATGCCACCATTAACACTTGGGTCCCATTGTAACTTTTCGTCTGTCCATACTAGTAACAACGCTGCGACAAAAGAAAACCTTTCATCAACTTCATCAAATTCTCTAATTGACTTAATTGTCATATATATATTAACGTTTATTGCTGAGTTTTGGTTCGTTATTGGACGCACATTTTTGTTATAACCAGTAAATAATGACGTATGCAGAGTCTCCATTTCCGTTATTGTAGCAGCGTTGATTAGTGCTATTACAAAATGTAATATTATCAAGAAACATAGTGTCCGGAACACAACAGTGTTTCCTTTGACCGCCATTTTTGTATCTTTATAATTCAATAACTAATTTTAAGTTTTAGTTTTATCAAGAAACTTGTGTCCGAAACACAATATATTTCCCTTTGACCGTCTTTTTGTATCTTTTTAATTTAATTTAATAACTAATTTCAAGTTTTAATTTTATCAAGAAATTTTGTGTCCGAAACACAATAATTTCCCTTTGGCCGTCTTTTTGTATCTTTTAAATTCATTAAATTAAAACTAATTTTTAGTTTTAATTTCCACCGCCTTTTCATTAAAGAGCTTCGCCTAAACTGAAAAGATTATATTAGATCTAGCATTAGTTAAATAGCTAACGGTCGTTTATCTCTGCTATGGTATTCTTCTTCATTCATGGATTAATTCTTTGCGTGATTGAAAGAACACAATTACTTGTTTTATTTTACATGGTTCAGGTTCAAACAAGACTTTAATAATATTTTTGATTTAAATCGAAATATTTTACTGATCTTTAGCCGTTTAAAATGTTTAGAAGATTACAAAAGCAGTTGCATAATCATAATTAAGGAATCAAAAATATTTCTGATAAGCAATGGAAATATGAATATATCACATATTAATTGAAAGTATTATAACATATTATTTTGCTAGGCATTTTAGCCAAAAGTTAGACCTTAACAAAACAAATACCTTTAGAATAGATATTTGCACATTTGCTATAGATCTACTGTTCATATGTGTTGCTACAGAACAAAAGTCATAAAAACAATCGAAGAATAAAGTGCTTAAATGCCATGCACCGATTTAATATGATTTTTCATTTAGAAAAATTCTATAAAAAATAAAAACAAGTAATATTTATTTATTATTTAGATATAATTCTGCTCTATTTAACCGATAAATGTTTGTCAACGTGTGGTCTTTATTTCCAGCCTAATCTTTAATGTGACGCTTGATGACATAAATGAATATCGATATTTCTCTACAGTGTAAAATGTACACAATCTCTTCTTCTCGGCCTTTTCCGTCAAACTTTTGATGATGAATTATAGTTGTTGTGTACGGATTGTTTGTTTTTTTGTTATTGTTGTTTTTAATTTTCAGCAATATAGGTTGCCCATTTATTTCCCCCGTTATTGGTTCTTTATTCATGAAAGCCAAACTTGAAGGAATGTGGATATTGAATGATTTCTTAGGCACGTGTAAAATTCACCTTCTTTATTGATAAGGTCCCCAAAAATATTACTCCCCTAGATACCCATCTGTAGAAACAAACACTAGATCCCGCTACTTTAATGCCGGTGTTGTACGTGCCATAATTGACAAGAATTAACTTCTACATTTGAAGAAATTAAATAAAAACTGTAAAGCACATATTTCCAAAAAGGATTAAAATCTTGATGTAATTGTATTCTTGTATAATCTGTACCATACTTATATATATTATTTAAAACAGGGCATGAACTTTTAACACAATGTAAAAAAATACAATTAAATGTCAACAATCTTCTTAGCTATGTTGCTTTTCAACTACATGTATACATAAAACACTTTAGGTTAAGCATCTTAAGCCCTCCAAACTTGTTTTCTTGAGATATAATATTTCTTTTTACCTTATCTCTTGAATCACTCCATAGAAAATTGAAAAAACATTTGCTGGATAATATTTATTTTTGCTAGTGCTGGATTAGGAATACTCAAATTTAAATGATTTTATTTTGAAAAAGCAAGGGTTTTCATAACCACCAATTTGCCAAGTGGCGTTAATACTCTTTTTGACCAGCAATCAATCAACAAATCAGCAAACAAATGTTTACATAAAATTTTAAAGTTTACATTGTGTTTTAATGATTCTGAAGTGCCATTTAGGAATAAACTAGTATTATAGGCATATTATGAGAGTTGATACCCTAAGCTATTAACACTAATTCCTTTTATATTATGATTACCTATTAACAATATTGAAAGGATTTCTGCGCAAAGAATGATGAAAAGGTAGGTAGACAGAGCATCACCTTGACGGCAGCCTCTTTATCGCAAGAAACAGTATGACATGGTACCATTAACAATAAAACCATTCTCCTTCTTGTATCCATTTAGCTCTTGATCTGATAAATACACCATACATTTTCTTCTTCCGTAAGTCTAAAATTTCCTCTCTTTTTTTGTTTTCTAAAAGTTCATAATTAGTGTTCGGCTGGGATTCAATACCCTTTATTTCTTTTAAAAGTTTATCTTCATTATTGATTTTGTGTACGGATTGTTGTCGTATGTAATGCAACATAAATTGTAATTGTGCAATGTGCGTAAAAGCTGAGGCAAACAACCAAATGATTTTTATTTATTTAGCCAAATACCATTTAAAATCATTTTGACTTGCTGTATAATTTACATAAAAAAACTGAATTTAAGATCAATTTTCATTGGTCATTTAAAAAAACAAACTGAAATATGGGAATCTTATTGGACAATCTGTAGTTCTAAAATAATATGTACAGGATAGATTTATTTTAACTTTCAACTTTTTTACAGTGTTGGTGCAACGCTGTACCCACGGATTAACTGGGAAAAAGCACCAAAATATTCACAATTCCGGAGTAAGACTATTGTACTCAGCTTGACACACTGCGAGTTTGCAGTTACATCGAGGTCCTAAGCAAAAAAAAGTAACACATCAATGTAAGGTATAATTTGTTATTTATTCCTATCATAAAGCCTTTTTTGACATGATGATCGCAATTGATTGAGACACATCACATGATTAAGGTATGACCATCCTAATGTTCATTACATGTATAAGAACTGAAAAAGCTTAAAGGACACCTACATGCAAAATTTAACAAACTTTGTCTTGCGGTTATGGCCATTTTCTGATCTTAAGCTTAGATGTTCGAAGGGCCCTTTTTTCAAAAATATCAATATCATCCTTATGGAAAAAAATCCCAATAAGTATTCTTAAGAATTAACAACAACAACAAAATGATAACAATCAGCATCCACAAACGCATAATTATTGTTTCTTCTCAACATCTATGAAATATGTATAAAATATTTCCTACCACACCCATTTTTAACACGTTTTTGACAATTTTCCTACTTAGCCTAATTAAGAAAGTCCCTAAATACCAACATGAGGGTTTGTTTACAAAGTTTCCTTACTTTTCTCAAATTTGTATTGCTAATATTAAATACTTTTACCGTGTAGTTCTTATATCATACATGTACTTTGAAAATATCAGATTAATTTGTTATCATATTTAGCATTATTTAGCCTAAATTTATTATGAAATTAAAATTGAACAATTGTTTCTTTCCAAAAGGGCTATGTTAGATAGATAAATAATGTTAAAGGGAAAAAAGAAAGAAGAAAAAGTTCACTCTTCTTGGTTTTGTCCCACGGCCCCAAGTTTCAATGCAGCTAAAGTAGTTTCGCCTATTTAAATGGGTAATGCATAAAGATGGTCATTTTCACTAATCCTTCTTTAGAAATGATAATTATAAAATGATACCTACGTCAAACATTAATCCGTTAGAAAAACTTATCAACGCTCTAAAAGTAAAAATCAAATACAATCATTGTGAAAAGGTAGAGGGAATGAAATTATTTGAATAAATAATTTAAAAACATTTAGAGATTTAGATACAATTGCAACTTACAGGGGGTTCTTTCACTTTCTTTTCCTTTCACAATTTCAATAACGCTTTTTACTAGTGTCAATTGTTATACATGTCATAGAATAGGAAAAGAAAAAAAATGCTTTGCTGAAGAAATAAAGTAATGATCTGAACACGATTTTTAAAATCACAGACCTGACATATTTCACAATTACGCACTGTCACTGCCATGCACTTACCAGTGGTAAGGAAACAAACAACTGTGTGGAAAGTATTTTTACTCGCCTTGTATTAATATATTTAAAAGCAAGCTAACGTTTGTATCAACAGATTTTTGATCCATGCTTACTAGATAGCACATCATTTAATCACTGACAGAATATCCGTTTAAGGAAGAATTAAGGAAAACGAAATTCATATCTCTTTTATCTAACATGCTAAAATTACTTTTACAGCTAAATAACACAGGCCCTTGCAGATATGCTAATGCATTGTTTTCTTTGCTTTAAAGATCCTGTAAACACATTTATTTATGGTTTTATATAAAATATGATGCTCAAATTAAGATTTATCAATATTGTAAGTTAAAAAAACAACATTATTTATAAAACTATTACCGAATTTACTATTTCATGTAAATAAAGGATATAGGTAATTAGAAATTTGTTTTCTATAAATTCGAAGTCTAATTTTCCAATAGCAAATGAATGCATATAATTTTTAATTGATTCAAAATATGTGAAAATATTTGCTGTACAAATTTAAAAAATTTAAAAAAACCCCCTTTTTTTAATTATCTTTCGATTGGCTTAAACCTTTGTATTAGCATGATTAATTATACATATATAAAATTTCACACAAGTGTGGGATACCAACAACAATCTTTCAAAAACATACAGGATTTTTAATTACGACGTTGCCATTCCCAAACAATTGATCACACTCAAGAAAGTGACATAAATATACTTGTGCAAAGGCAAATCCAGTTCAACCATATTAGGCTTTAATTTTTTTTTTTCTTCCCCAAGTAAATTTTAGATTGCCCTTCATCCTCTGACTTTTCCGGACTCCGTGCATATTTTCCTTTTTCAGGTGTATCCCAGATTCATTTTTTCCAGTTATTTCCTTACTTTTTTTGTTTGAATTGGGTCTGAATTACTGGCTCAATTTCACCGTTTTCGACTCGTTGATTTTTTGCGGCAGATACAGGTTAAAACTCGATACACAGCCTTGAGCCACGCAGGGACAAGATAACTGTTGTCCCTGCTATACAAACGCATGTTAAGGATGGTGACAAAATACTATCAGTGCGCTTATAAACAAGTCTATCATTAACTTGTAAGATATAAGCGGTACTGGCTTCGAAGTTTGGGGCAACAAGTCATTGACAATGGTCATGTACACAGCAATAGCGAGAAGTGTTGTGATACAGTATCCAATGCGTTCTCCCGATTCTGGCACGAGAAGAAACACGAGAACATTTAACATGCTCAGAATTAATATTGGCATTATAATGTTTATCACAGCAAAGGTTGCATCTCTTTTCAAATTTATAGTGAACGTTATTTCAGATTCATTACCAGATGGTAATAGCATCGCGTTAACTTTTGATCCGGTGACAGCCCATAAGGTGTGAGGAGTATAAACATCAAAAAAGACGTACGGCGATTCAGATTGAAAGATTCACTTCATGGCTCTTGTAACCTAAGGAAGTAAAACTGGTTTCGCAACTCTGAGTGTCGAACGGAAAGTTTTTAGCGTTAACACTACACGTGCTTTCAATGAGACCCCCAGGCATCCATTCCATTTGACCAAATTGATCACCGCGAATTATGTCAGATGATTTTCCTAATGTTGATCCTTTTGAAGAAGGACTCGACAATGTCAGTTCAGGAACCCATACATCATTGAACGACACTGTAATCTGTTCGATGCCACCATTGACACTTGGGTCCCATTGTAACTTTTCATCTGTCCATGAAAGTACCATCGCTGCGACAAAGGAAAACTTTTCATTCACTTCATCAAAATCCCTAATTGACTTAACTGACATGTCAATTTTAACTTCAATTGCCGTGTTTTGGTTCGTTATTGGTCGCACATTTTTGTTATAACCAGTGAATAATGACGTATGTAGAGTTTCCATTTCCGTAATTGTTGCAGCGTTGATTAGTACTATTACAAAATGTAATATTATCAAAAAATTTAGTGTCCGGAACATAATAGTGTTTCCTTTGACCGCAATTTTTTATTAAACTTTTTTATTATTATTCAAGAACTTAAAAAAAATATAATCTAATTTCAACTTTTAATTTGTGCTGATTTTCATCTAAGAGCTCCGCCGTGACAGAAATGATTGACGTAGTATAATTTTCATGGCTAATGGTCATTTATTTGAATAACGGTATAGTTGAGAGTTCAAATAGGTTTAATTAAAGAGACGCAATTACCCGTTTATTTTAATAGATTCCCCGGGTTTTAAAAAGATCAGGGTTTAAATAAAGGGTTTTAAAAAAAAAATTTTTGATTTTAATCGAAAAATTTTATTTATTTTAGCAGCTTTTTTAAAAATGAGTCCATTTTTCATAAAAGGGAAACAATTTTTTTTATAGGCCAAAAAAAAAATTTATTAATCAAACGGGTAAGAATTTTAAAAAACCAGGGGATTTTTTCTGAATTTAAACCTTTTATAGTCAAACATCAATAAAGTTTCCAAAAAAGGGAAAACAAAAAATTCTTACTTTTAAAAGATGAATTTTTGTCAAAGGGATCTTATTTTCAGTTTTATTCGGGAAATCTTTTAATTTTTTCCCTTTCAAAAAAACATTTTGGCCCAAATACGATTGTATCGTAGAAAAGGGGAAACAATTTGCAAAAGAATTTTCATTTTTTGTTTTATTTATAAAATATACAATTTGCATTTTTTTCCCCCCTTTCCTTTGAATATCGGATAATGACCTCGGACACCAATCTTTCCGGCAAACTTCGCATTATGAAGGATTGTCGATGTGAAAAAAACTAACATGATTTGTTTTTGTGTTATTTGCGGATAAAATGTAGAAAATAACCAGATGTGTTTTTATTTAGTTTTCTTACAATGATATGGAATATAAAATCAGGGGTATTTATATCTGCAATAAAATGCATAGCTGTCATGGCTCGTTGGCGCGGTTTGGAACTGTTATTTTAAAGTGTAAAAAATATATAAATACTATCAGTGCTCTTATAAACAAAAAACTGGAAACAACGTGATCCCTCGGAAGCATTAGTCAAAACAAAAATTACATGGAAAATGCAGACTCGGTTTGATTGAGTCTTTACTTGGGGATAATGAATAGGTGCAACAATGAATAAGTGAATAAGTTTATCATTAACTTGTAAGACATAAGCGGTACTGGGCAACAATTCATTGACAATAGTTATGTACAAGGCAATGGCAAGAAGCGTTATGATCCAAAACCCAATACGTTCTCCAAATTCTAGTACCAGAAGGGACACATGAACATTTCACATAATGACATTACAATATCACATCACAAATTGCATGCCTTTTCAACTTTATTGTGAACGTTATGTTACAGGAACTTAAATCGCTATAGATCAGATAAATAAAATCCTGAAACAGTATGTTGACTTGTATTTAATTATTTTTCCCTTAAATATTCTACCACTTGCCCCTCACCGCTGTAGGCTCGAATCCCGATGCAAGTTTGTCGGTAATTTTAGTTAATCGTTTATTAAATATATGTGGTCAGGAACGAGAAAAATATCACATGAAAAAATAAAACTTGAGGAAACAAGTTTGCTTCTTTGAAAAGAATAATGCGAGAGGTCTTTTTTGCTGCCGTAGCAGATTTGTTTAATTTGAAAATATTTGGGGATGAATGGTTATAAATTACAATTATTTAGCAAAATAGAATTTATTATATATATTTATTATAGTATCATACTAAAAGTTTGTTTTACACTTCATTTTTTTAAAAATGTTTTGAATGATTATATGCGGAAGAAATGCGGAATAAACAGTATATAAAGCTGCATGCCTCCAACCACATTATTTGAGCAAAATCTTGAGTAAATTTTGTGCCAATTGCGCCAAAAAATTTCCGTTGCGTTATTTAGTAATACCGATTCAAAGGAGCATCACTATTTTGGTTCACGGTTCACTCGGTCATATAATAGTGCATGGTGATATTGTACCTGTAATGTTCACTGTTACTATTCATCGGAACATGAAATAGTAAAACGCTTTTCAGAAAACAATATGGTAATCGATTTATACAATATAAAAGATTAAAACGGAATTAAACATCCACGAAACGTAAATGATATTTTCCGATTTTTCTATGTACCGATTCGTTCATTTCGATGTTAATCTTTCGTTTAAGTTAAGTCGCAATTTGAAACGGAACATGCGCGAATCAATTTTTGTAGACTGCTCCTAATGATTTTACGCTTTAAATGAGATTCGTTCACTACAAAATACTGTGGAGAGGTCTGATGACCTCTCCAATTTTTGAATATCGATATTTGTCTATTGTAATATTATGCAACAAAGGGCAACTAAGGTTGTATTTATACAATTTGCGCTTTCTAGAAAATAACCAGATGGTTTTTTCTTTATAACGATATCGGATATAAAATGAGAGATATCTATGTCTTCGATAAAATGTGTCTTTACCATCAAAAATGGTGCTTAATGATAATAAAACAAGTGTAGAACACATTCAAATGTTTCTTTTGTTAAAAAAACATCACTGTAGATCTTGTAAGAGGACTTCTGCTAGAGTTTATACATTTGTATATGTGGTTATTCGCAATGTGGTTGACATGCTAAAGATGAAACCGTAGATAACTGCATTCTGGGTGTCACATTGTCAACTTTTGCCGTTTAATGCATTTCTTAAGGGATTCCGTTTCCTCTTTTTATAGCCAGGCTAGAACGCATAGCTGGAAGCATGAATTTGAAATAAAAAAAGACTGAATGAGCCATCAAGAATTCCACATCTAATTGATTGAAAAAAGGCATTGCTACAAAAAGAATGAACTGTACTTAACTACTTAAAAGAATATGACAACCATGAACATGTACAAATTATTATTTGCTTTACTATTCGATTTAAACGAAAAAATTGCCCGAATCTTTCTGCGATTGAAAATGTTTTCATATACATCGATACTGTTGAAATCTGTCCAATGCCCTCGGTAACCGAAGCTATTTACCTTATGTCAGAATCAGTTTGTTCCGACGATGCTGGCCGAAGGACTAGAATAAGAAAAAATCGCTTAATAATTTGATAATCACAAGCTCTCTGTAAAATATTCATCAACGTGAATTTGCTAATGTATATTTCATCACAATACCCGCTGTGCAACATAATATTAGCACGTTGCTAAGTATGCTGCGATATTTGGTAAAACTTTAAAACTTAAGGATGATCGTAAAAGATCTGTTTACATCTACGAGGTTGTCATTCCAATAAATATGATCATATTGATCACTGAGAAAAGCAAACAAGTGAAAAGAGCAATCCAGTCGATCATATAACTTATTCTTTTCCATGTTATATGACCATCTTCCTTCTCTGAATTTTCAAGGTCGTTGGAACTTTTATTTCCTTTATGTTTAGATTGATTTTCCTGCATTGCACTTCTTTCATTTAAATTGTTTTCACTTTCTGCTTTGATTCCCGCGGTGTCGTCTGGATAAATTTTTCTGCCGGTACAAAATAAAAATCTGTATACGACTTTTAGCAGTTTTGGTACACTATTGTTATCGTCTTTACTATATAGTCGCATGTTAACGATGGTAACAAAAACTATCAGCGCGCTTGTGAGCAAATCAATCATCAACTTGTAGGAAATAAGCGGTACTGGCTGTGAAGTTTGGGGCAGTGAAGTCATTGACAATGGTCATGTAGACAGCAATTGCGAGAAGTGTCGTAATGCAGTACCCTATACGTTCGCCCGATTTTGGCTTCAAAATAAATACAAGAACATTTAATTAGCTAAGTACAGATATGGGCATTAAAATGTTTATCACAGCAAAAGTTGCATCCCTTTTCAACTATATAGTGAACGTTATTTCAACCTCATGATCAGATCCTAAAAGCGTCGTTTTTACTGCTGATCCAGTGACATCCCATAATGCATGAGGAGAATATACAATGTATTGAACTCCAGCTACAAGATTCACTTCATTGCTCTTGTACCCTAGGGACATAAATTTGATATCGCAACTCTGAGTATCAAAGGGAAATTTATTAGCGTTAACGTTGCACGTGCTTTCAATGAGCCCCGCTGGCATCCACTCAGTTTCACCCCAATCATTAACACGGATTCTGTCTGAAGATTTACCTATTGTTGTTCCTTTTGAAGAAGGACTTGACAAAGTCAGTTCTGGTACCCATACGTCATCGTAAGATACTGTTATTTGCTCGATTCCACCATTTAGCTTTTTGTCCCAACGTAACTTTTCATCCATCCAGTGAAGTTGCAAGGCTGCAACAAAAGCAAATTTTTCATCCACTTCGTCGAATTCTTTTATTGACTTTATAAACATAAATACTTTTACGTCAATGGTCAAGCTTTGATCCGTTATTGGACGCACATTTTTGTTATAGCCAGTGAATAACGACATATGAAGATTCTCCATTTCCGTGATATTAGCTGCGTTTATAAGCGATAATAACAAAATATAATACTTTCAAGTATCTGAAGGCTTGGAAAACACCAGTATATCCTTCAAAAGCCATTCTGGTAATATTTGTAAATAATGTATCTAAACAAAATAAGTTCGTGTTTAAAATCTCTTTTTTCTCACAATAGCGCTACTGTAAGTTGCTGAAGATGGATCTCTATTTAAACGTAAAGGAATTTCATTGTATTTTTATTGATATCTTCAAGTGAGGCTTAATGTATTTATCTATTTAATGATTTATTTTCCCGATGGTGTCGAATGATGAATTGTTTTTAAAAATCTAACTTAACAAATGTCATTCATCCGTATTAATACGTCAATAGCATAAAAAAGTCATTATTGATTTTAGCTGTTAGAGTAAATGATGAGGTCAAACCCCTTTGTATAGAAACCAACATTTTTATCTTTGAATTGATTTCTCTTTTTGATCTGTATTATGTTTACTAATTATACCGTTCATAATATATTAATGGCAAATCTATTTTTTTGGTCACGTTTTGGCTTTCATTATGCTCAAAACAAAGCCTTTCATAGCGACTTTAAACATTAAACAACTAAACATTTGCTTATTCCCCCTTTAAAACCATTAAATTTAAACAAAAATTTTTTATCTTAGAATTTTAACAGCAACAGTAAAACATGTTAATAGGACTAATTTTAGTTTGGTAAAAAAGGTGTTATAGACTTTTTTGGGGAAAATTTAGAAAGGCTTGTATGCATGGAACCGTCATCGATTTAACATGAAGGAATATATTCAATACTATACATTAGCCACATCTTCCATGAATCATAGTCTTGTTAATAACATTTAAATTATGTTGTAATTAAATAAACGATTTTGTAACTCATTCTGTTGCAACATTTTCAAAGAAAGGTAAATATAGTCATGCTGTTCATAACATTATTCTGTCTTGTCAATTAGTTATGAAAATAATAAAGACTTCATTAATTAACTCTGTATTTCATGTTTATATAAATAGAGTGTTTTATAAACATAGTTCTCAATTATCCATTGCTGATCGGAAAATATAGCTTAAATGGATTTTGGGTATTCTTTAGAAATTCTGTTTTTTCCTCTATCTCTATGTTAAAATAATAATGACAAAAGTGTGATTTGTTTTGTAGTTTAATATTTATCTCTTATAAATATTACATTCACATAAAAAAATGATTTTAAAAAAGTTAAACGACATAGGTTTTACTTTATAGCTTATATGTATCATAAACGTCCCATACAAAATGAGATTATTGATTATAATACAAGATCCAAACAGTGTTCAATGAGTGCATGAAACCCGACTCAAAATGCATTTTTTTTTAATTTCCATCATTTTTTATTTAGTAGTGAGCCATTGGTTATGATGTGATATTCACCGGAAGAATTGTCAACTGACTGAGGCGATAGCTACCCGCAGTGATTATGCTGAGCAAGCGTTCGCTTAACAACCGTTTGGACCATTTACATCATATAATAATGGTCAATTTGTATCAACACTTGACTATAAATGAAACCATATTCTGTTAAATACATGTTTAAAATTGATAGTTTTACGAGATAGATGGAATCAAAAACCTTATTATGAGAAAATCAAAATTAGCCAGTTGAACATCTTTGAAAATATGCTAGAATATGCATTCATTGACCGTGCTGTTGCTTTACGACGCTGCCATTCCTAAAAATAAGATCATATTCATCACTGTCAAAAATATACATGTAAACAGGGCGATCCAGTCAACCATATAACTTATTTGTTTCCATGTTATGGGATCGTCTTTTCTCTCTTGTTTATTTTTCAGCTCGCCAGAACAGTCCTTTGTTTTACTATTAGATGCGTTTTCTTGCATTACAGTACTATCGGTACCCTTAAATTTGATTTCACGTCTTTGTTTCATTTCTTCTGTGTCGTCTGGATGAGTCTTTCTGCCAGTACAGGTTAAAAACCTATATATAGACTTCAGCCAATTTGGTACACTATTGTTATCGTCTTTACAATATAGTCGCATGTCTATGATGGTGACAAAAACTATTAGGGCGCTGATAAGCAAATCAATCATCAACTTGTAGGAAATAAGCGGTACCGGCTGTGAAGTTTGGGGCAGTAAATCATTGACAATGGTCATGTAGACAGCAATAACGAGAAGTGTCGTAATGCAGTATCCTATACGTTCTCCCGATTCTGGCACAAGAAGAAACACAAGAACATTTAATAAGCTTAGTATTAATATGGGCATTATTATGTTAATCACAGCAAATGTTGCATTCCTTTCTAAGTGTATAGTGAACGTTATTTCAGCCTCATTTCCAGATCCTAATATCACCGTTTTAACTTCTGATGCAGTAATATCCCATAAGGCATGAGGAGAGTAAACATTTAACATGACGTTCGGAAATCCGGCTTGAAGATTCACTTCATTACTCTTGTAACCGAGAGAAGTAAAGCTAGTGTCACAGCTCTGAGAATCAAAGGGACATTTCTTAGCGTTTACGCTGCACGTGCTTTCAATGAGACCCGCTGGCATCCACTCCATTTCACCCCATTCATTAACACGGAATCTGTCAGAAGATTTGTCTATGGTTGTCCCTTTTAGGAAGGGCTCGACAAAGTCATTTCTGGTACCCATAAGTCATCGTGGGACACAGTTATCTGCTCGATACCTCCATTGACATGTGTTGCGGCGTTTATAACCCCTATTATAAAATATCTATGACACCAAACATAGTAATCTCCTCTAAATTCCATTTTGGTAGAAGTCATCTGGAGGAAAAAATCGTAAACAAAATTTATAAACTGAAAATATCAGATAAGGTGGTTTGGTTTTTTTTCCAATATATTTCAGGGTCACTTATTCATAATAAGACATTACATAGATTTCGATGAATGGTTTAACGCTGCGATACAATGATGCGTATCAGTTTACAAATATAGAGTCTAAAATGCGCTCAAATATATAATTGATTTAGATCGAAAATATACAAAATGTATATGAAAAGCGAGAAGATTGAAAAGCTACAATAGATAACAAATGATGTAAATTTCTTCCAATTTTTTTTATGATACTTTATAGATTATTTTCTATTTTCGTGTTCTTCGTTCGACAAAGTAGTCGAGCTGATACAAAATTATCGGAGAGGGAACCGTGAAGGTGAAGGCATCAATGCAAACAAGTTACATATTCTTATCTTTTTCGACACGTGATAGTACATTGGGGTTTTAAAATACAGAAATAATAAGCTTCATTCGTAAGCAATTTCGATGTTTCTACGTTTGATGCAACACTATCGCATTAACTAATTAATGATATCAAACTAATTTCCCTGGTTTGGAAAACTTTTACTCAGGAGTTGAGTTATAACATAAGGGTAAAGTTGTCTTTCTGGCGTGTAATGCTCAAAAGGTATTCTTTATAAACTGTATTATAAACCATTTTTTCGTTGGCGATATGTGATGAAGTTCAATGAGCACTCACATTTCTTTTGTCAGGTCTGGTAATACCTTTTTCAAATAGACAATATGAATTTCTTAAATTATTGTACTAATTGTATACCCATTACCGCATAAAAGTTTTTATATTGCTACGAAAGAGATTTCTTGTTGAGCCTCTTTCCAGATACACAATAAGATGTAATAGTAGCATTAAAAATCACTTCCAGATACTTTGATGATATTTTTACTTAGATGAAACTTCTCAAATATCTAAAATATTCCCAATTCACTTAACTGAATAAAATTTATTTTACTACATCATTTTTTAATCTTCATATTAAAATCGGTAACGATACTATTCACACAAAATCTGTGCTAAGAGAATTGTCTTTGATTTTGGTAAATTGAATTAACCGCATTTACATATAGATGTACCGCATGCATCATCTAAGCATGGGCTATATATGTAAATTTATTTTTTTCTACAGGACTTGTAAGCCATTGTAAACTTTTTAAATTTGAAATATTTTTACTTAATTTTAAAATGGTAACTTCTAAAAATTCATAGCGATTTGTAAAACTTTTGCGGCAAGGAGTAAAGGACGTCTGATTTTATAGAGATGTTACCTAGAAACGATGTTCTTGGGTAATGGTAATTTGTCTTCTATCTTTTCTAAAACTTTTATTTAAAAAGGATGTTAAGTTGCGGCATGGCCGAGTGCTATTAGCGGCATGGTCAAGTGGTTAATGCGTCGGACTAGTAATCCAATGATTGCTAGACACATAGGTTCAAACCCGTCAGGTGCAAGTCGTTGTTTCCTAAAGCAAGAAACTTTACAACTTTCGAAAACAAATTCTGTATAAAAAGGTTACTACACTACTCTTTAATTTACAGCATATTTTAATGTTCAACCCCTTTACAGCTGCACACAACGCTTTCTCCTTTTGATTCCATCTGCCAGACTAAGTTAGACAGTTCTTGAAACTTATTGATGTTAAATTTGTCGTAATTTCACTCTTCCTCCTCCCTTCGTCGGGCCCTTATGTGTGATTTTCTAGCTGCTCTGTCGTTCTTTAAACATTAAATACTTTGGTTATTTCTGTGTTTTGCTTATTTCACCTCATAACCATAACATATGCCAAATTTCGCTTGTTGGGGATCCATCTTATTTACACTGTCGCGTTAACCAGGAACATGTTGTGGCTAAGAGGGGCCAAGAATGGGGTTTGGTGCATCATTACCCTGTTTAAACTCAAAATAATTGCCAGCCTATGTTCCTGAAATGTATTTCTTGTTTATTTCTACACCATTTTTTGATAACACTGTTGTGTCCTTTGTGTCATTTCCTATCACCAACGGTTAATATCCCTTTCCTCTAGTTATTTTTTCAAATGTGACTCCTCTCCCCAGTCCTGGTCCTTGTTCCCTACACCCTATCACTGTGTATGCCTTCTTGTGTCTTAATGATTTCCTTTAACATTGTATGATAAATAATAAGGCCCCGTCCGTGATTTGCCCTTTTGAAATCTTCCGTGTATTGTTTGTACCCTGCTGGTCTACTTGTCGGTTCTCCTCTTGTGTTGCTGGGAATTTTTGGTTGATGCTGACCTTCTTTGTGGCTCAAAATTTGTGCAACTCGGGATTCACACAAATAATAACATATTTTTTTTACCAAACGCTACCGCATTGCTGTCAATACCTAACATCGCTAAGTCTTCAATTTCAGTGAGGGTGGATGAGTTTTTATTAGGTTCCAATTATGCTTCTTTTCCGAGGTCAAGTCGAGCGGAAAAATAGTATGTATTTGTAAAGATTGTCTATTATATTAGTGATAAATATATGGAACAACTGTCTAAAATCGTTATGGATAATGTCCCTAACTGGAAATTTTAGTATCTTTCACAAATAATATTGTGCGATTTTACATTTTTTCTAAATGAACATTACAAATCAAAGGAATTATCTTTGAATTCAAAAGTCTTTGAAAGGAAAACAAACGGATGACTCTAGACTTCTGAACGACGGGTGAATCTAAAATTCTGAAGCCTATATTCGATTTCCTATATAATACAGTAGGAAACAATTTTGTTTAAATAATTTTATAGTTTATACATACGCAATCATGTAATTACAATAGGTTTTATAAAAATGATCCAGACAACAAGTGTTCTAAAGACTTCATGCTGATAATCCTGCAACAAAATCAATTTACAATTACCTCCACTGAAATTAGTACATGTAATTATCAAATTTTAATAAGCTAATATAAAAATAAAAACTGTACAACAAAGCACAAATTATAACAAAGTCCATTGCCTACTATGACAAATTGTTTAAACAATCAGGTTAATTATTAATTTAATTAATAAGAAATTAAAACAATGAGCTACTTAGACATCATTATATTTATTTATTTATTTACTATAGTCTCATCTGTGTACAATTACATACATTTCAACATAAAATATAAATGTTACATTGTACATAGCTATTATTACAAGAGACATAGGATACATTATGTTTTATATATTTTACAATTAAAAAATCTGTTATGTTATTGGCATATATATGTGTATATATTAAATACATACATATATACATGTACATGCAAATACATTACACATATAAAAAAAATGCATATTAAAACAGCACATGATATCAACTGTAAAACCTGCCAACAGCAAAACCTTTAATAAACTTCACTACATGTATTAAAAGGTAAAAAAATATGGGTTTTCAATAAAACGTCCATCTTGATAATATTATTTGTCTAGCCGCTATCTATGATTAAGTTGTGGACTAATTAGCAGAATGTACCTTGTTTATACAGAATTTAACTCCAATATAGTTTACAAGAAAAGCATTGATGCAAAGCATCAAAGGGCGTCCAAGCAAGAAATGCAGAAAGTGAAGATAAACTAGTAGACATATGATGACAAGATATTCTTATAAACTTTTCAATGGTTAATTGGTTTTTACCAGAATGAACGGCCGAAAGACATTGTTCATTATGAACTTTGATTGGCATGCTAGAGATTAGAATATTACTTGTTATTTCTTTATGATCGTGATTATTAATACGGGGAAGTCAAAGACCGGGCCCGCGAAGCGGGTCCGGGCTTTGGCTTGCCCGGCTATAGACTACACGTGTATATTTAAAAGATAATGAAATAAAAAAAGAATTAAAAAATATATAGAATTCTATACCTACCAATGAAATTTTCAGTGTCAGTTCTAGTCGGGCGCCGCCATTTACAATGTAACTCAATGATAATAAGCGGGGTATTCCGATAACGGAACAAATCTCAACTTTTCAGATAAATAATAAACGCCGAGTGTCCGAGTGAAAACGGAAGCGGTGCATGTAATACCGAATGACACTTTTAAAACGGAAAGAATGAAAGGAATTTTTAACGACTTCCCCGTTCATAGGCTTTGCCTAATTTCATATTAGCAACGGATATACATGTATACAATCATTTATAATCCATATGTGTAACGCATGGTCAACACCACACTTGTGGCAATGTCTCTTATTATGTTATCGCTATTAGCGAAGACCCCCTCTTAAGGTATCTGTTCATATGACACTGGTTATATTACCATGTTGATCATGTTGAGCATAATTGTTTATTATACAATAATTGTAATATCTATTCTGGGACATAAGATAACTTATCTTAAGTTATCTTATGTCCCAGATCTATTTTAATATAAAAATTACAGATTATATGAATATTGTTTTTCTCTCTTTTTTGTCTTTTACCGGTATGTGCTATTTTAATACTGAGTTTTTACGTTTACTACTCTTTCTTCATTAAAATTGTAAAATAAATTTTAAGAATTCAATTGTCACATTGACCGACGATTATAAGTCAAAACTTAACTGGAAAAAGTCAGTAAATTATGCGTAATCTTTTAATATATAATATTGTTTATTCTTAAACCATATACATGTACATTTGTATTTTTCTTTATCATTTTTTAAATTATCAATCAATTAAATAATTCATAAAATCTAATTTGTAACTTTGAATAATTCCTCGGCACCTTTACTAAACACGAATAACAAATTAAATAAAAATGTTTCAAAGTTGATAGTATCATATTAATACCATAAAAATGTACCTTTGTCTCAATTATTGTACATATTTATTGTTTTAACGGGGAAGTCAAAGTCTAGGCCCGCAAAGCGGGCCCGGGCTTTGGCTTCTACACGTGTATATTTAAAAGAAAATCAAATTTAAAAAAAATATATAGAATTCTATACCTATCAATGAAATTTTCAGTGTCAGTTCTAGTTAGGCGCCGCCATTTACAATGTAACTCAATGATAAAAGGCGGTGTATTCCGATAACGGAACAAATCTCAACTTTTCGGATTAATAATAATCGTCGAGTGTTCCGAGTGTAAACGGAAGCGGGTATATATAATACCGAATGACACATTTAAAACGGAAAAAATGAAAGGATTTTTTTACCGACTTCCCCGTTCATAGGCTTTGCCTAATTTCATATTATCTCATATAGATAAAATGAAACATGCTATTGTTGTTGTTTTTGGTTTTTTTTCGAATTGTATGTTTATTTATAATAAAAATCAATAAATTTGAGAGTTGATCTATGTTTATTAATTATTGTTACCAAACTAAGTGACAAACATTCATTTTGGAAAAAAAGCTTATTTATCTGTAAAATATTTGTTCTGTTCTGTAACGATATCAAACATTTACTCCAAAACCGTGAGAGACCGGACAATAAACGTGTGATACTATTCGCCGGTCACTAGTAAATCCCGGTCAAAATAGACCGGGAGAGACCGGGAATTACCGATAGCAGTACATCCCTCTATAAATAGATTTTCGGAATGTTTAGGTCATCAACTCATCGTTCTATTTTAACATACCAAAATAACCCACTGTGTACTACAAAATGATAAATTAAAAAAAAAACCGAAGAGACGGAAAAGGTTATTTCATGCATTGCGAAATTCTCCAGTTCGCTATTCATTGTACATATCGAGACATTTTTTTAATCAAGCACCCTCATACCGATCGGAATGTTCGGCTTTTATTGTGACCGACCAAAAGGCTCGAGAAGTTGCTGTCGCCCTTTCACAAAATCTGATTTTATTTCATAAGAGCGCTGCGCTTCGGCGCGGACGCCAAAAACATGATAGGTCTTATTCAAACTGATATAAAATACAGTCCAATTTTGTTTAAAGATAGAATATGTCATAATAAGTCGATTTGTAAAGACACTTATTTCATGCTTTATAGTGTTTACTATAATATATCAGATGATAATATCTGATTAACCACTAGTGAAATTTATAAAATAATTTTTACTGTAGCCGAACTATATCTGAATGCGGATGAAAGGAATATCATAACTAAATGGAATAACAAAAATAAATGCCGTCATACGCAAACTTTGTTTTTTAAGAAAAGAAAGTCGATGTCATCGATCATACATCATGTGAAAAATGTAACAAAATTAGAGAAATTAATCGAAACTATATTTCAAAATTGATGCCGTCATACGCAAATTTTGTTTTTTAAGAAAAAAAAGTCGATGTCATCATACATCATGTTAAAAATGTAACAAATTAGAGAAATTAATCGGAACTATATTTCAAAATTGATGTGATGACGTCAGAGAGGAGAATGCACGATGTTACGCGGCAAAAACAGTTAAAAAATACTTAAAATCACTTAAAAAGCATGAAATAAAAAGGAAACTTATTTATTTTACATATAAGATTGAAATATATTTCATTCGTGAACACCAGCTATTATATATTCACTCGTGGCTATGCATCTGGTGTTCACTCAGTGAAATATATTTCAATCTTACATGAAAAACAAACAAATATTCTCTATTTATTACAATATTTATGTATGCAAACATCAGACTTTCACTAAAAGTTTTAAAAAATTAAGACTTAATTAAAATATTATTTGAAATTTTACTGAAGACATAACAATAATTTTAAGTCTATATTGGGTTTACATTGCTATTATATAGACTGTTATTTCGAAGTTTCAATATATTATAGCAGGTTTTTGCTATTGTACGTATCATTTCTGGGCGGGAAAACAAAAATTGAAACTTATCAATATCATTAAGTAATTTGAAATTTGTATTTAATATAACTGCCTTTTCTAAAAGTAAATTCCTATCAACAGAGTAAGTTGGACATTTCAATGACACATGGATTTCGTTTTCCACCGAGTCTTTGCAAAATGGGCACACTCTTCCAGATTCAGGTACTCTTTTATAACGCCAAGTTTCTAGTCGAAGTTGCGCTACGCACATCTAAACTTTGCTAACGCAGATCTATGTGCATATGGTAATTGTAATTTAGAATACGTTGCAACTTCATAATAAGTTTTTTAAAAGTTTGTGTGTCCTTAATTTATTACGACCTGTGCCACTATCACTTGACACTCGATCAATATCGGTTCTCCATTGCAGAATATGAGCATCAATAAGAGCATTTGTCATATTAGACACTAGATTTTTACGATGAAAAGGTAATTGAATAAATGATGCTATATTATAAGAAACTTATCCTTTACCAAAAATGGCAAAATCTTCACACCAGTACTACTTTTAGATAAAGCCCAATCAAATATTCTCTTTTTGATTCTACAAGTGTCATAATTATGACAGCGGTACCAGTGATTACAAGTTGCTTTCCACTGGTCAACAATAATTGGATTCCAACCCATATCTCCTTGTACAGCTGCATTTGGTGTATTTTTACCAGTGCTAAGGTAGAATCTCTTTGCTCTATGCTGCAATACAAGAGAAATACTTGATCCCCCATATAGCTGCCCCATAAGAAATAACAGGAACAACACATGAATAATAAAATTTGGTATAAATTTCGTAATAGGGTAGACCACCTTGACTTTTGTATTTAGCAATGAGAAGCCCCAAGGCACGACCAGCACTTTGTGTTACTGTTTTTGCAGTGATATTATAAACAAGATGTTCTGTAAATAAAATACCAAGATACATATACTTATTAAAATACTATATATAACAGAAGTACCACACTTAAAAACACTTTTGACATCAAATCAGTCTGTAAAATATCCATTTATACGTACACATGATGATATATTTTGATACAAGGATTTTACAGCAGTTAATATTTTTGTAGACAATCGAATATCAATGAGCTTCTGCCAAAGAAAATTTCTGTTAATGGAATCAAAAGCTTTTCTGAAGTCGATGAAAGCACAAAATGTAGATTGTTTGTTTTTCTTACGAGTATCGATAATATTTGTAAGGCTGGACAAATGGTCTATTGTGCTACGTTTTTTTTTCGAAAACCGTTCTGTTCATCAACAATTATTTTTTTTGCATCTGTCCATTTTACAATACGTTCATTCAGAATACTTGTATACATATTATACATTGTTGAAGCTAATGAAATACCTCTATATGACATAGGATCTCTAAGATCATTTGAACTAGATTTTGGTATTGGGTTAATAATACTCTTTGACCACAATGACGGAATTCTTCCGGTTTGGAAACAGACATTAAACAAGTTGTGAAAAACAAACAATGAAACTTCATTTTTTAACAAATCTTGGTATTGCAGTTCCAGTACTTTTTGGGGGGAAGTAATTAAGTATCAGTCTCATTGCTTTTAAATATTCATCAATGTTTGATTATATACACAGTGTCAAACAAAATAAACATTATTCAGTAAAGAAATCAAATCATTAGTAACTTTAAAGGTAACATTACATTTTTACAACTTTAATGATTTAACATAAAGTTTATAAATAATATTTACAACATATATTCATGTCATATCTTATTGTTTAGTAAACCAGTCAACTGTAATACAATGCAATTATCTTTCACTTACTTTTTCCCAAAAATAAAATAATACATGGAATTTACTGCTTTACTTTTTGAGAAAAATTGATGACATTTTATCAAAACCAAAAGTACTGCCTTGTAATGCAGTAACAGTACCACTTTTTCAGACAGTAATGCAGTACCAGTACCAGAAGTAGCAACTTTTTGTAAGAGTTATTCAGTATCAGTACCAGTACTTGCAAAACCACTGCAGTACGTACTGCAGTACTAGTACTAGTACAGTAATGCAGCTCTGAATATAATACACTATGAATGTGTGATAAACAGCATTAATACACTTGTTACTATATACAGTAACAAAATCGCCTATGATTTCAACTGATTATGAGTATCACGTGACCTATTATGAGTTTGCGGCCCCGGGCCGAGAACTAGTTATCAGCCCGCCGAACATGTACACGTGCACAAACTGAAACAATGACGTCATATTTTACGTCATCAAACAGTTGACTGTAAAAGTGCATGAATCGCTTGATTTTATTATGAGAGCTTAAGCGTATTTCGTACAAATACAGTTTTATTACTATTGAAATTTAAAGAAATAATACGACAAATTCATTCCGGAAAAAATGAAAATAAAACTTGCTTCTAGATCCTAGAAAACACAAAAAGTAAACAACTCTGTAGAAGTTAATGAACTTTATAGTAGAGCCTACAGTACAGTAGGCCTACAGTAGAAATACAGACATGAATTTTTACGAAAGAAATTTCAAAGTATTTATTAATAGAAGAAAAATGCTACTATAAATTCTATAAAGTGTATTAAAGACATTAATTTTTTAAATACACGTCATAGTTGTGCCAGAAGGTGATAATCGGCCCTGAAATGAATAATGCCCTCGGGCTGAAGCCCTCGGGGCCATTATTCATTTTGCGGGCCGATTATCACCTTCCGGCCCTACTCTGCCGTGTATTAATCTCTTATTACATTTAATACAACAAAATGAGGGATGCCACCTAACTAGTTGTGTGCAGAAGGCTATTTCTGTAGAACTAATGTACTAAGATTAGTCTTTTAAGTCATTAAGGTATCACTTTAGGAAACATCATGGAAACAAGATTGTTCAAAAGTATATGACGCAATATTCATCCTATAAACAGGGGGCAGAATAAAGCTTCATGCTTTATCCTAAACAAACTCTTTTTTCTCAATTTCAAAAATAAATAATATTCCCAAAAGCAACCACAAAAATCAAACTCTTTGAATTTCTGAGGAAATTTGAACTGTGAGGCTTTTTGTGGAAAGTGAGAACTTTTGTATACATATCACAATTTAAGTTTTATATTTTAGCGGCAGTAGATATGACATGGACAAAGTAAATGCTATGTTCAATGTATTACCTTTTGAAATACTTCCAATTTAATACAATATTTAAAAAAATAAAATGAAACCAATTCTAATTTAATTCATTTATGAATGTTGCGGACGATACTAATTTAATGCATATGATTTTCCAAATAAATTGCCTCATACTTGCTTGTCACTACCTTTTATAAACGAATAGTATAGACATTTACGCAAAGACCATTGTGAAGACAAACATGTCCTTCTAGATCTTTAATCTAGGATTTTGCAATGCCGATAAATATGATCATATTCATTACTGACATAAACAAGAAGGCAAAAAAGGCAATCCAGTCAATCATGTAACTTATCTTCTTCCACGTTATTGGGTTGTTCTCTTCATCTATTTTTCTCAGCTCATCAACACTTCCCTTTCTCTTATATTTAGCTGCGTTTTCCTCAATTTTCTTACTTTTAGTCGAGCCAATCGCGCCTTTTGGTTTTTCCTCAGCGGTTTTGTCTGGGTGAATTCTGCTGCGGGTACATATCAAAAACCGGTAAACTGACTTGAGCCATCCCGGGACGATAACCTTGTCGTCTCTTCTGTATAGACGCATGTTTACGATGGTGACACACACTATCAATGCACTCATAATCAAGTCAATCATTAACTTGTAGGAAATAAGAGGTACCGGTCGTGAAGTTTTAGGCAACAAATCATTGACAATTGTCATGTACACGGCAATAGCAAGAAGTGTCGTAATACAGTATCCAATACGTTCTCCCGATTCTGGCACAAGAAGAAACACAAGAACATTTAATAAGCTTAGAATGAATATGGGCACCATGATATTTATCACAGCAAACGTTGCGTCCCTTTTCAAATGCATTGTGAACTTTATTTCAGACACACTACCAGTTAATATTACCGGTTCAACTTCTGATCCCGTAACATCCCATAAAGAGTCACCAATATATTCAGTTAAATTGATTTTTTGAAATCCAGCATGAAAGGTCACCTCATAGCTTCTGTAACCTATGGACGTAAAATTTGTGTCGCAACTTTGAGTGTCAAATGGAAATTTCTTAGCGTTAACATTACACGTGCTTTCTATGAGACCCCCTGGTATCCATTCCATTGTACCATTTTGGTCAACACGAACTCTGTCAGATGATTTCCTAAATATTGACCCTGTTGAAGAGGGACTTGATAATTCAATTTCCGGTACCCATACATCATCGTGGGACACTGTAATCTCTTCGATGCCGCCATTGGTAGTTTTGTCCCAAAGTAACTTTTCATCTGTCCATCGAAGTGTCAACGCTGCAACAAAAGAAAACTTTCCAGCCGCTTCGTCGAACTCTCGGATTGACTTTACATACATATACACGTATACGTCTATAGTCGAGCTTTGATCAGTTACTGGTCGAACAGTTTTGTTATAGCCACCGAACAATGACTTATGTAGTTCCTTCATCTGAGCGATTGTTGCAGCGTCTATAAGCTGTATTATTATGAAGAACCTTAAGGCTCGGAAAACAGAAATATATCTTTTAAACACCATTCTCTAAAAGTAAGATTGACGAAATGAAACAGAATATTAAACTTTAAATTTCTTTTGCTCTATCACAATAATAGTACCATCACTGATGACAGAGTTCCATTTAAACTACAAAAAAGGTGTATTTCCTTTAATAGGCTAGTATTTTTTAGGGGCGCTCCAATCATTAGCACATGTAATGCATTGGTCGAAATTGCAGTGCGGTGTAACGTTTCATATTAGATCTAACCATACAAAAGAAAATATTCATTTTAATACACAATTGCTTTACAATCAACTGTCCATATTCAATAAATCATTTTGAAGATTAAAATATGGTTACATAATATGCTAATTTATTTGCAAATGATATGTAAATTAGACTACATTTGTATGGCTGCTATTTTTGCCAAAAGTTCATCCTTGTTGATCATAGTTGAGCAGTTTGTTTACGTACAAATTACAGTCGTATTTCTTGGTATGTAAACCCCAGTGTTGCAGCCTTGAATTGAGTTTGTCGATTAAACATTGTAAACATGTATTTCAACAAAATACATTTTATTAAACGACAAAATATTAACTAGATTTCTGAAAGTAGCAATACCAAGTGCTTACCATAACATACGTAATACTAATTGTTCGTGCATACGCCGACAAAACAATATTTACTTTCTTTGGTCTACATTGTCAAATTAACATGATTCGGATTAGCATAATCCAATTGAACACATTTGCAATAAACGATAAACAAGCTCCGCCAATTTTCCTACCACTACGTCATCGTAAATAAACGTATTAATCCGCTCATTTTAGTTTTAGGTATTTACCGTCAACAGCTGGTTCTCTTAATCACAAGGAAGCAAAGAAGCAACAACACGCACCGACGTAGTTTTCATTTCAGGAGCCTTTAAGGTGTTTGCAAATCATGACAGTTATTCACCAAACATAATTCACTTGCATTCTATGCCTTTATTCAATCAAGTCAACATCTGATAAAGATTTTGCTTCGACCAGATATTAATACAAACCAAATTCTGACTGTTGTCTTTCCCTGTTGTAGCATTTACTATTACATTAGTAACCTATATACTATAGCGCATGACTTGACAAGAAAATGATTTTAACAATTATAAAATTGAAATCAAAGTTGTATGTAGCAACTACCTCTTCGTGTTTAACATTTTATTTTTACCATACTGTATAGATATATATTTTCCTAATTTACATTATTTTTAATAATAATATTTAAATGACTCCCAAGGTAAGTATGTTGATTATCAATTTATGTATACCTTGGTTATCTTATCTCTAAGAAAGTCATCACTTACAAAAATTAATAAATATTCTATGTAGTATTACTTGTGCATAAAATAATTCAGAAAGTCTAGGTAACAGCTATTGACAGCATGTATACACAGATCTTAACGCTGTCATTGATTGAGGAAATTGCATAAAAAGGGGTTCGCTGATGAGCTTAAGCTACATCAGCTTGCATATAATAATTTTTTTTCATAATAAAAGCCATAATCTACGTTGGCACAGAGGCAGTTACTATGTCGTTGCCATAACTTAGTCAAAATTTGATGTCTGATTAATGGAGCTTGGACAGTGACCTTCTAATACGATCCGTAAGACATGTATCAAGTTTAAAGTGAATATCTCCAGTATTTTTTAAAGACTAATCTTTCTTGTGAAGCTTTAACAGCGCAGGAATAAGTTTAAACATTCATATTTATATAAAGTGAAATGTTTGGTTAATTAATTCGTGTGCATGACGAAATAGTATTTTGTGCGCACGAGATAAATAAAAACACATGTCACCTATGTGACACCGTATAAATCAGATCCCTTGACTCAAAATATTTCCTAATGGATGTTAACAGAGATGCTAGGATATACTGAATATGTAATTCAAAATCAAACTGTGACAAAAACACAAGTTTTTGGTTATACCACAGGATTATCAATAGTAAACTTTGTGTAATTCCACGTTATGCACTTTGTCAAAAATTTTGATTTTTTTTCTACAACCTAATATAGTCCTTCAAAGAAAGAAGGCACGGACTTACTGGTCTCATTATTTATGTTGACAAAAGATAAATCCATGTATTGCATTCTCGTATTGTCTGCTGAATGTAAAACAAAAGAATACGAATATTTCTGTGAACGAATTCAACAATTCCGTTATATTTTATCTTAACCACTTTTTTATTACATGAATATCTTTGCTAGAATACGTTTAAACAAAATAAGAAGACTTTTTTAAGGTCAACTATTATGGAGTTGATATATGTCTTGAGAAGGAAAAACTATATTTGATGAAACTCACTGAGACGTGACATTATTATCTCACCTAGAAATCCAAAACCTTCAGAATGTACATGGAACGCACCATTTTGTTTTATGGACATTTCCATATTGCTATCATGAAGTTTAACTTTTAGTTTAGAGTTAAACACAGTAATTGTGATCATTCATCAAAAGAAACAAGGTTTATAAAAAAGGGCAAATATGTTATTTCTCATCACACATTGTATCTGAACTACAATATTAATGTTGTGATGACTGACATTTAGTACACACCCACGAGGTGGAGCTATTTAGATAGTTGTTTTTAATATGTTATGTATATCATGTATTGTATAGAGAGTTACAGTGTATGTATGAATGTAAAACAATAAAGCTGTATTATAAGCTATGGTGTTGATTTTATCAATCCTCAAATAAACAGAATGTTACAAATGTCATTTTGCGTTTTAAATAATTTCTTCGTTTTCTGGAAATAGGTAGTGTTCCCCTTTCAAATTGGACGAGTCTACTTGTTTGTTGCATGAGAATCTATTTCAAGGTTTAATTGTCCAGTCAGTTATATAGCCCGTTTCAAGTAAAACGTATTTACATAGTGATCTAGCGTGAGTGAACGACATAGTTCGTCATTGTTCATGAATTTATCGGTTACGGCAATCAAGTCGGCATCATACATGTATGTACAAGTCACCAGCAGCATTGTTTTCCTACGATTTTGTTTCTGAGAACTATATAAAGCCTTTTTAAATAAACAAATTTTCTAGCTTCTTTATCTGGACTTTTTACCATTTTTATTAATTTAGTGCTGTCCTTGAAAGAATTCTGGTAAACAAACTTGTTTAATTTGAAATATTTTTTACTCATTAATACTGTAGAGTAAAAGTTGCCTGCTCTGGTAAAAAAAACCCCTTTTTTTTTTTTTCCCTTAAAATTTTTTTTGGGAAATTGAAAATTTTTTTCTTAAATGTAAAAAAGTTGTGTTGTCAATGAGAGTTTTATATTCATTTTTAATTCAAGGAAAAACTTAAAGTGTTTTTTTCTAATGATTTTGGGGGTTTTTGAAATTTAATTTTGGGGCGTAGTTTTTTTGGCCCTTCCCTTTTCCCAAAAACCCCCTTAATCCTGGTTTTCTTGAAAAATTTTAAAATTTTTTTCTTTTTTTTGTGGCCGGTTTTTCGTTTTTTTCCCATTTTTTGGTGCCCTTTTTTCTCTGGGTAAAAAATTGTTTTTTTTTCTGGTTTTTTTTTTCTCGTTTTTTTGGTTTTTTTTTGGGGTTCCGGTTTTTTTAAATTTTTGTAAATTCTGTTTTTAAAAATAAACTTTTTTCTTTTTTGCCCCACCGTTTGGGGGGGGTTTGGGTTTCCTCCCCCGGGGCTGTCTGTCTGTCTGTCAGTCTGTCTGTCTGTCTGTCAGTCCGGTCACAAAACCGTCCGATCCACAAAACTATCACCGCGATAACGTAAAAAGTACTGAAAATATTTTTATGAAACTTGATATATGGATAGATGGCAGTCTTTGGAGATTATGCAATTTTTTTTTTCTTCTTTATGTTTGAAAATTCTGGTTGCTATGGCAACAAATAGTCTGAAAATATGGCAAATTTAACACATAAACTGGATCCAGTGATAACTCAAAAAGTACTGAAAATATTTTTATGAAACTTAAAATATGGGTAGATGGCAGTCTGGAGATTATGCACATCTTTTTTTTCTTTTCTTCCTATGTTTTGAAAATTATGGTTTGCTATGGCAACAAATAGCCTGAAATTTCAAGATTTCTGATTAAAATTTTTCAGCTTTATCACTATATTTTCTTTATTTCTTAAGGTGTTTACTTCAAACTTTAAATATAAGTTTCTGGTCATCAACCACATCATATGTGACAAGGTTTATAACTCTAGCACAAAAATTATCAGTATTACCTCCCTTGTACTTAGATTTTTTAGGGGGAAAAAATGTTGTCTTTTTTAAATAACTTCTTTATTTCCTAATCTACTTCAAACTTCATATATATGTTTCTTATTATCACTCGACATTTTTGAGAAGGTTAAATACTCTAGCAAGACTATTTCCAGAATTATGTCCCCCTTGAACTTAGATTTTTTTCGAGAAATTGGTATTTTCACTCCAACTTCTTCATTCATTATAGGATTTACTTTAAAATCCCACATCGTAATAATATGACAAGGTTGTATAAACATAATTTCCTTACTAGGCATGGAAATTTAACACATTACTTTGATATAGACAAACTTAGAACTCAAAAGATTTAAGTTTATTCATGTCATTCATTCACTGGTAAAATTGAATGGCAAATGGCCCATCAGAATGTTGCTGGCGTTCTAACCGGTAGGGGACTTATGGATTGCTTGCAATACTATGATAATTGCTTGTTTCTTATCCTTTTCATTTGTTCTTTTTCTTTTCAACGTACACCATATGTCAGTATAAATGGTTGATCGAGTTATATATTTGTCTTACTTCTAGTCAATGGAAAAATTACGTAACGCACCAGTGAAAATCCATCATATTGTGTGTTTTTAATTCTTATAATATTTTTACCTCTAATGATTCGTTTAATATTTTATAAGTGTACCTATTCTTACACTGCATTTTAACATGTGAAGTGCAACCTTAGCATGGCTAAATATTATTCCATACCTTCTTATAATTGAAACCAATTATACGTTAATTAAAATTCTGTCCTTGTATCATGAATAAAAAATAAATAATCATAAATAGATTTTAATAAATTGTATATTCGAATTCCACGTACAAAATATTCGACTACGCA